AGACGGAAACGTAATCACTGGCCTGTGTCACCTCTACGCTGACACCCGAACCTTTGCTCCTCGAAAAGGAGTGAAGAGCATGCCCCAGCTGACAGCGGCACATGAGCTCATGAGAGACTGTGATTAAGTGAACACTGCTAATCAATGGAACATTCACTTGGTTTCCTGCACCACAGCTCATTCCCAACTCGCCCTTAATTGGCCTATTCTCTGGTAAATAAGATGAGTTCGCATCCCACTTCAGCAATTGCCAAAATCACTCGCATCCCTGTCTCACATACACACAACACCCCAGGCGCACACATACTGTAGAAACATACAAACAGGCGTCGTCGACTGGATCTGCATGGTCCAGGAGGATGTTCATACACCTTCATAGAGAGAAGGGGGAGGGGTAATGAGAAAGTGTATACTAAAATAGAGTGTATATTTTCTTTGGAGGTCAAATTGAATTTGATTAGCGTTCAAAAACTGAAGACCTCTGGATATGGCAATGACTGCACAAACAATAGGAAGAAAATGTGATCTGAGGTAGGACAAATTGAACTGAAATTAAGGCCTCCTTGAAATTTGATTTCAGTTTGCCAAGGTTTAGATTTTCATTATGGAGTCGAATTGTCTTCCAGGCCAAATGCACAGCTAAAGCACCACCTACAAACAGAAAGGAGAACTGCACAACTGTACTTGAGTTATCATCTTCACATATTTCTTTTGCTACTTCTTCAACCTCTCTGTATGTTCCCACAAGTGCACTTGAAGTTTCTTCCAATCACTGACCAATAACTCACATGCTTGATCCTGATTGATTAATATATTAAAACACCATTAAAATACTATTCACACATACAAAGACCTGAATTAATCTTTTCTATAATGAGCATGTTTTCCATTTCTATATTAAAAATCATTTTGACAATTTTAGGTCCTTAAAATAAGTTTTTTCAAAACCATATGACAACAACATGAAGAAAAGTACATTTAAAAAAAACTATTTTTAAATGTTCTTTCGTGAACACAGTAAGACACAGAAAGTGTCATTAAGCCTTTGACCAGAACAATTAGGTTTAAGACTCACAAGTTCTCCAACCTCTCTAACCAAAGCCATTCATGTGAGTGAAATATCCACTACATCAATTAAACTCCATGTTGATTAACCAGTTTTGAGATAAACAAATACATTAAGCGAGTCACCAAATCCTGTAAATTGCACTGTCTGTGCTGCAGTGACAGAAATGTAAGTGTCACTCAATTTAAGAGAACAGCACTTGTGTCGAAATAGACGCCATTACAGTTCTTTCCATGTAGCACCATTGACTCAAAGCATACTCTCTAACAGGTTGGTGTGTTTGTCCGTGTGTGTGTGTGTGTGTGTTTTCACTCTGACAGGTAAAGTGATGGCAGCGCACACCTACCCTCTCACTGTCAACAACCCTCAGCATTCAAGAGCACACTAAACACCATTACAGATAAAACATACGTAAATATTAGTGCAGTGAGTGTGAGTGTATGTGGGGTGCCCAGTGCCCTGAAACAAAACACAGGCATACTGTGAGGACCGCACGAGTAAAACGCCTCACTTAAATGTCGTACTGAGCTTAGTTTCATTAAGCAGGTCAGGGTCAATTTCAGTGGGTGTCGTGGGTGCAGCGCAGCAATGGTCAACAAAGCAGGCAGACACAGTATTTGAAATATATAGTGACATTTTATGAACAATATCAGGCTATTTTACATTGATTTTCTTTTTTCAGCCATTTGATATGGGTTTAGTTAATATTTCTGCCACCTAATCCAGGCTGTCTTTCTTTTTTCTCACATACCCAAAAAGGCAAGCTGAGAAAAAAAAAAAATAACTGTTTATAAAACCACATTTGTATTAAAAATATCTTTTCAAATTTGCTGAGAGATATCAAATTTCATGAGAGGGAAAAATATTACAAGCACATTCAGGGGAAAAAAGCAAAAGACATCTAGGCTGACCAGCTGTAAAACTTGCCTAATGATCTGATTGTAAACTCCAGTCTGACTTCAAAATGGTTAATTGACTGTACTTTGAATTCTGGATTCAATGTTAACGTGGATGAACAGAAGAAAGATTTTAGTAAGAAAAACGCTTACACTGGTGTCAGGCTGCTGTAGTATTTTCTAACATGAATAACAAAGGGGAGCAGGTATTAACCAGAAATAGCGTGAATGACAGTGGAGAAAACATGATTAATATTAACACCTTTGTGTGAGCTCTTACTAAAATGACTGTCCTTGAAAAATAAATAATTTTAAAACTCTTGCAAAGGCAAGTGCCATTTAAAACTAGAAAATGTACCACTCTTGTTCTCACTCTTTCATTTAAAAAAAAAAAAAATATGAATGGACTCTCTGATCTCTCGCTATATATATACAAAACACACACACACACACACACACACACACACACTTACTATAGTAACAGTAAATTGTGCATAATTACTTTCAGCTAACCCTAATCCTAAACCTAACCCTATAGTAACTACAACATGTAGCTCAAGTACTTAAATTTATAATTACAATGTAAGGAGGACACCTTAAAATAAAGTGTAACCAAATATGTTTGTCCAAAGCAATGTTTTAAAATTTCCGTTATCTTTTACATTTTGCTATTTCATAAATTGTTTTGTGCTTTAGAACTGCTGCAATGTATTAATTGCTGAAAATCCTATACACTCCATACAGTGTGACAACATGCCCCTGCTATATCAACATGCATCATCTGCTTTCAATGACGGTGGAAATATTTAATAGCTTCGTTTTGTAGTCAAAATATAAGCAAGACAAATATATCCCCAAGAAATATACACTTGTTAATTATAATATTTACTTAAGCACATTTTAATATATTGTTCAACTTTTCAGCTATATGATATTTTCAAACTTCTGCACCTAATCCAGGGTTTCAATCTTTTTTCTCATATATCCAACAGATATATTAAATAACTTTTTATATTTATAAAACCACATTTCAAATCTGCTAAAATATATCTTATTTCATAAGAGGGACAATTAAATTAATTTGAATGCACAAAGTATTGTTAAAAAGATAGAAATGCCATGATAATTAATATTATTATACTGTGTGGCCACACTAATCACTGACTTGCATGGAAAATTACACCACACACTGGAACAATTCTTAAAACACTAATAGGAAAAAAAGGGAACATGAAATGTGTGCTAAAACCAGATAAACCTGTAACCTATTGTTCTACAAGCCAGAAGAAAGAACTAGACCACCTCATCCAATACTGACTCAACCACAAGAGAAGAGACAAATTAGGGAAGCAATTCACACAAACTGGCAAATAATGCTATCAACATCACATCAGAAAGTCAGCAGACCTCCACTAATTCTCTCCCTAAATGTGAAAAGTCAGACAAAAGGAGATAAATGTTAGAGAGGTAATAGTCATGCATCATTTCCCTTACATACACATGCCGTCAATAGTAGTGCAAGGTCTTGACGCTAATCACTGGTGTTAGATAAAACTGTGAGGGTTAATGGTCCATACGGCTGTGCAGCACATGAAGGATCAAGATAGCAGCCAGGCCTCTGTATCACTGCCCTCAACAAATCCATCTCTCGCTCTCTCAATGTTGGAGGGCAGAGGACTTGTTAGGTGGGGGCAATCGATTCAAGCAGAGAGCACTCTTTTACAGCCCAACATTCAAAGCTGCAAAACTTATTGTAAAGTCAGCGGCTGAAAGGGAGGGAGTCTCGCCCTAAAGCGCTCTCTTTTGTGCCCCTGTCACCTTCGTTGCAGATTTATAACGCTCTATTACAAAAGTGTGCATCGAAGCCCTATTCAATTAGCCTATCAAATTCTTTACGGCCAGATTGTGAATGGGTTATCAGAGCTGGAGATAAGAGAATTTACAGTGCTCGTAATGATTCACAACAAAAGGGTTTGCCCACACTGTGTGCTGCCCACCGTTATTAAGAAAACAAATAACCCTTCCAAAGATAAATCATGCATAATACGCTTTGAAACACAGTAAAGCAACATTATATAATGAATCGCATTTTACCGCATATAGCCATCTGGTGTGTTTGTGTGTGTGTGTATTACATATATCACTGGTGTTAGATAAAACTGTGAGGGTTAATGGTCCATATGGTTGTGCACATGAAGGATCACACAAAGGCAGTATAAATAGTATATTTAGTAAAAAGTATTATAAAAATATTTTATAAAAATAAAAAAATATATAAAATACCTTAATATTCAAGTTGTTTTTTAAATATATTAATAAACATGAATAACTACTTATTGAAATATGTATTATTAACTGACCTTATATATTTACATATTCATATAGTATATCAGCCTACATAAAATAATACTATAAAAAAATAGGATAATTTACAAAGAATTATCTCACTTAGGCACACATATACACACACATACCTCAGGGCAGCTTTGACATTCATATTCAAACCATAGACCCGCATGTCTCAATTCTGAATGACAAATAGATTGTGACGACTAGAAAATAGCACTCAATTTCCTTTTCACTAATGCAGCCAATACACTGTCCCCTGGATCGATGGAGATGCGCTGTGAGACGCTGACCATTACTGTGATTGAATCTCCACTTTGATGCTCTAATATGGAAGAGACTGTGGTACTTTAAGTACAGCCCCTCTTTTAGGCCGAGGAGATGGATTAATACAGTCTCTTTGCTATGAAAGATGGCACAGCTCTGTATAGCGGATCGGTCTCGGCTAATGCGCATCACATATAAAAATACACACACTAAGTAAAGCAGCGAACTGGCAGTCAGAGCTGATGTCAATTTAAAAAAGAAGTAAAAGCACATACAAACACTCATGCCAAAAAAAAAAAAAAAAAAAAGTCTGCATGACCGGTGACCCTGTCAAGCTGCATATATAGTGTGTGCAAGCAAAGGAAAGGATTTTAAAAAAGAAAAGTAAATAAAAAAAAAATGAAAAAAAAGCCTGGACTGTTTACCTGAGAGGGAGTGGTTGACATTTGGACATCTGTCAATCAAATATTCAATAGCAGAGAGTCTGATAGTGGGCACGGTTCTTTGTTGTCATGGATACGGCTGTAGGTGAAAATGTGCAGTTTGCCAAGGCCCTGCGTCCACATTCAGGTAGCAGCCAGGGGTGTGTTCCCATGCCAACGCCCATCTATATGTAATAAGAAACATAATAGTCTTTTCTTTCACCCATGTCTGTATGTCACATCTACTTATATATATGTGTGTGTGTGTGTGTGTGTGTGTGTGTGGCTATGTCTCTCAGAAAGGGAGGTAGCAGTGAACAATTGCACTTATAATGGTGAGAGAATTTCCTGACACTAAATGTTATTTTTGAACGAATATTACCTAGAGTTAAACATGCTTAACCATTGCTTAAGCATGGTTGAATCTTGGGAAGGTTTGAAATCCAAAGTTCTTTAAATCTGTTTTCCCCTGTTCATTTGTTTTAAGGCAATGTTTACTCTTCCAATTAATTTATTTATTTATGGGAGGAGGGGGATTTATTCAGCTTTTGATGTTTAATTGTAAAATAAATCTAATCTTAATTAACCACAATAATGACATTTGCACTTTTGGTATGGTGTGTTATTTTTGCAGGATAAACAAAGGGAAAGAAAGTCACTCTGTTTATTAGGCCTAATTATTGGGCAACATAATCATGTATCAGTTTTTTTTCTTCTTTTTTTATTAAATCTGAGTTAATTAGTTACAATGTCTTTAAAGTGTATTCGGCATGTAGTCCAACAAATTGGCCTTTGCAAAACAAATAGGCAACTGTTAAATAAAGCGAGTCTTATCAGCGCAGTTAGATCATGTAAACAGTCTCTTATAACAGTCTTGCGCGCCCTCTTCGGGATAAAGCCAGCTACTGCAAATTACTTATTAAAGGGGTCATATTATGGCATATTTGTACACGTTAATAATATGAATTTTAGGGTCTGAATTTCCGTTTAGGGTCTAAATGGAAACTTTGTAAAATACATTTATTAAAAATTCTCATTAGTATTTTAAGAAAACAGTCATTTTACCTGGTCAAAACAGCTCTTGTTTTCAGCACGCCGTTTCAGTGCATATATGCCTGTAAATGATAATGAGCTTCGCCACTTTGGCTTCGCTCACTCCGCCCCTCTGTTCTGCTGGCGTTTTGACCTCGACACAACGCACGTGGAGTGTTGCCTTGACAACAGTTGAGGGTTTATTTTGGAGAGAGAATGGCAGCGGGACTCTCTGAGCACACATCTGTGCAGTTTGAACTGGAGTCGGACCGGAACAAGATGACAGCCGGAAAGAAGTTCAACAATTAAGGCTCGAACAGGACGATTCTGAATGGTTGGTTAAGGTAATATCACTTTGATGATCTATTTTTGTATTTCACTGGCAGGGTAGAGTAGTGAGATTGGTGTGTTTATTGATGTATACCTTAGATCAAACTCAATTCCTGGAGGGCCACTGCTCAGTTTTGCACAGTGCTCCAACTTTAATCAAACACACCTGATCCAGATCCACTGAGATTATCAAGGTTTTCAGGATTAGAAACTTCCTTACAGGAGTGAGTTGGAGCTGGTTGGACCCAAACCGTGCAGAGCTGTGGCCCTCCAGGAATTAAGCTTGAGATCACTGCCTTAATTCATTGACAGATTGACGATACAACTATGAAAAACTTTTTTCTGCGATTTGCAAATATTAATAAAAAGGTTAATAAAACGTTACACTTACTACTTCTGGAGGTGCAGAGGGAACATAGTTGGTAGCCTACCAATTCTTTTTTCAGGAGCAGCTTGCAAAACCAGCTTTAAAGTGTTAGTTCACCCAAAAATGAAAATTCTTTCAGTATTTACTCACCCTCATATTGTTCCAACCCCGTAAGACCTTCGTTCATCTTCGGAACACAAATTAAGATATTTTTGATTAAATCCGAGAGCTGGATCACTCCTGCATACTAGTCCATAGGCTTCTTGAGGGATTGAAACTTGCAGGCCTCGAAAAGTCATTAAAGACATTGTTAAAATAGTCCAAGTGACTACAGTGGCTCAATCTTAAGTTTATCAATTGACGAGAAAACTTTTTGTGCGCAAAAAAAAAAAACAACAAAAATGCCGACTTGTTTATTTCAACTATTCATTTACTTCTGGGATGTTTGCCAGCGTCATATGTGACGTCACGAAATGGGCGTGGGCGCGAACTGGTTGGCAGAAAGAACCAAAACATACGCAGCAGTCAATGTGTTCTGTCAGCATATGATAATTCTTTGTACGAAAAAGCTAAAAGGAGATATAAGGTAGGCCTAAAGCTTTTATATAACCAGGGATCATGTTCTATGCCTGATCCATATCACCTGAATGAGAATTGGAGCAAAAGCCCGAACACATGGCCAGATTTGACATTCGGCGACATCTACCTGTATCTCATCGACACGCCGTCTATGTGTACCAGAGAGAGTCAATGAAGGCGTACAAATCTTTAGATGCCCATAAGTCATAATTACGAATATTACTTGTGTTAAATGGATAACTGGTAAATTTGTTACAACTAGAGTAAAATATAGGTGTAATTTGTCCATGGGCTATATTTTGAATCAAAATTATCTTACCTCTGATATATAACATTGGTCAACATACGTAAAAATGTATCAAAGAAAATACAATAATTTGCCCGTAATCTATAAGGGCAACCGCGTCGTGACGTCACGGGCGAAGAACCCTATAGAGAGCCTAAGTCCCTCCCCTTCCGGTCGACCACCATGGGACCTTATTTCGGAAAAATATTGAATGGTAGTCAATGGCGAGAGACAACAAATATTTTGATCTCGTTTGAATTGTGCCCTGAATTACACATATGATGTTTGTCAATTTAAAAGATACATTTTAAAGTATAGAAAGTCGCAGTTTGATGTAAAACCGTTGAGGTATAAGACTGTGAAAATACGTAATTACAAAGACTACAAACCCCAAAGGCGCACATTTTCTCCCAATGAATGAAGCTAACTTTACTGAGGCTGTCTGTCATTGTTTCTACAGTCTTACGTTATAATCGTAACGTTACGCCGTCCTACCTGAGTGTTTTGTACAAGACTGCACACACACTAGCAGCGGATCTCGTTTCATAGATGTAGTTCATAGAGCGATTTTCACATAAAACTAAATGTTACTCTTCTGTTTTATGACAAACTGCGACGTTTTTGACTTTCAGAATTATCTTTTAAATTGACAAACATCATATGTGTAATTGAGGGCACAGTTCAGACGGAATAAAAAGATAAGTTGTCTCTCGCCATTGACTACCATTCATATTTTTTTCCGAAATAAGGTCCCATGAGCCGGAAGCGGAGGGGCGGGACTTAGGCTCTCTATTGAGAATGAGGAGTCACGTGCCGATTTGGGCGGGGTCTGAGCCGGTCGGCCATGATGGTAGGAGACGCTATCGGTTACCAGGGGCATCGCCTTTAGAACCCCATAGACGCGACTAAACATTCCAGAGCTCTTAAATTTTCGCGCATTTATTATTTTGGCAGGACAGAGACGGACCTAAGAATACGAGAAAAAAAGGAAGAAAGTAAAGCAATGCTAAAAGATAAGGCGAAAGAAAAGGGACCTTACAGGAACAAACTGACACAAAGTGCAAAACAGCTGTATTTGGAGAAGCAGCATCAATATATTTGTTCTTTTGCACTAATAACAGTATTATTATTTTATTATTATTACTTATGTTGTCCATGAAACTTATGTTGTCCAAATAGCCTATAGCCTATATTTCAGTTCTCAATAAATATTGTCAAGCCATATCAAGTTGTTTCAAACATTTATTTCAATGAAATAAAAAAGTAATGAACAAGGCACTCCAACACATTTTCACCCCAAGGCGTCATCTTTGACCATGCTTCAATATTTGACATTTTAGGCGCCCTTTAGCGTCACTTACATGACGCGATCCTACGGCGTCATCTAACTGACGCTAAAGGAAAGCGTCAGTTAGAGGACGCGGTTAGGTTTAGGTCTGGGGTGGGGGTAGGGTACACGCGATCCTAGGGCGCCATCTAACTGGCGCCTAAAGCGTCAGATATTGAAGCATGGTCAAATGCTTCCCAAGGCGTCAGTTAGGTGACGCCTTGGGGGTGAGAATGGGCTGGGCACTCAAACAACACTTTTTCATATGTTCGTTAAGGCACAGCAAACAGTGAAAATCGTATACTAAAGGCATCAGCAAACCTAGCAATCCGGCATCTCCTCGTTAGATCAGACTCTCCCTGCTGTGTCAACTTCGGTAACCCCAAAAACTTAATTCCATTGTTCCTATATGTTTTCCATATGTGTCGTGTGAGTTACTGGAGGAGTTAACACAGCAGTTACTTCCAGGCATGGTAAAACTCATCTACTACCGAGGTAAAAACACACGTAATCAATACTGTTTTGCCGTGGGAATCCTACCAACATGGCGGAAAGGGGAGGGGCACTGTAAAATGACGTCAACTCCTCATTCTCAATATAAGGGCAAAAACATACATGCCTTGTTTTTTGTTATGTTTTCAATGAGTTCAATTAGTCCTAAATGGTTAGAACATCAATATTGTAACCCGAAGGCATGCCCGAAGGTCGTAAGTTCGATTTTCAATTTCAAGCAGGAAACGGCTAATGTGATGGCCTTGAGCAAGACACCTCACTAGCCCACTGCTCCGCGACCAGGTGTGTGTTTCCACTACTGACTGAATGTGTGTGTACTAACTGATGGGTTAAATCATAGACTGTAAAAGATGGACAACGCACCTTCACTCTCTTCCATTGTACAAAAGTGCCCTAAATCCCAATATGGCGCTTTCTAGCGCTGATTCGGTACTCGAGTCTGCGCAGTAGTGAACATGAAGTGGAGCCGCTATCGAGGTCCCACTTCAGCAGAATCGGTTCGTAAATTCTACTGCGGAACAACTCGTCATTTCGGGGTGAAATAAACTGTTATGAAAATGTTTAAATTTAAGTTAAAGCTCAAATCTCCTCCCGAAAAAAAAAAAAAAAAAGTTAGTCAATCGCAGCTGTAAATCATGACATCACACACTCCTTTTTATAGCATCAAATAACTAACTAAAACCAGATTATTTAAAAAATAAAAATTAAAACACTTGAACTTATCCTACACAATTTCTGTCTTATAGCTTTATCATGCTAATGTATTTACCATGGTAATTGTGACGTAATCTTAACCCAAAATACAACTTTATTTCCAATTGACTGTGGTGGCTCATACCAACACTATCTCACGACCAATTCGTACGAATTCGACGCATGATTAAAAAGTGGCTAATTCGTAACAATTCATACGACCTCACTCGTACTAATTCGTACGATTTGTCTAAACCCACGTGATGGTTATGTTTAGGGGCGGGGTCAGGGGTAGGTCATTCGTACGAATTCATACGAATTGGCCAATTCGTAAAATATGTACGATTTAGCAAAATCGTATTCGTACGAGTAAGGTCGTATGAATTGTTACGAATTAGCCACTTTTTAATCATTCGTCGAATTCGTACGACTTGGTCGTGAGATCGGGTTGCTCATACCAACTTTACTGTAATGAAAAATTAGTTTGGGACTGCCATACCTTATAGGCCTTAGGCCTACTGTTCCTTCATCAGTGTTAGTGATGATCATTTTTGTGTCCAACTAATAAAAAAAAACAAATAAATAAAAAAAAAACACGGTTGTAGTAACCACAAATTATGGTTTTGCAACACTAAGAATAGTTTAACCGTGGTATTTGTAGTAAAACCGCGGTTGTTTAAATGGTAACAAATATAACAAATATTATACTATAAAACAAGCATGATTCATTTTCGTAAGGTTGGGTTTAATCGCCGACAACCATTGTTGTTTATTGTTATAGAACACAGAAACTGCAGGAATGAATGATTATAAAATATTATGATTAATGAAATTCCGCCTGCACAACAAACTTGGAGAGGGTAAAAAGCCTGCTCGACAGCATTAACTTGTCTGTGTAAAAACGTCTCAAGTTGTTTTTATGACACCTGTCATTTTCCAACCTGCAGCGCTTGGCTAAATACGTCCTCGAATTTCTCATGGAGCAACACTGCCACCTGCTGTTGAGCTCCAGTACTGACTACAGTGTTAATAAGCTTGTGACTTATTAACACTGTAGAACAAATGATTTGACCGTGGACATTGACTCCAGCTTACATATTTAATGAGTACAAAACTGTGATCGTCTGTCTGACATATTTAAGCTATGACAGGAAAATTTCATTTCGGTGGTAAATATCTGTTCTTAAATGTTACACGCATTCTGATCTACATTTGAATGTTAAATATCTTCAGTTTTCAAACGATTGAATGTTTTACTAATGTCACTGTGTCTGCTACGTTGTGAAATATATGAAACTAGACGAGTGGGCGGAGAAATTATCCTTTGGTAGAAGCATGTTGTCAAAGAAAGAGTTGAGCTGGCGCTTGTGTCAGTGCCTTAGCGCCATAATAGGCTACTTAATCGCGTTAATTAAATAGCGTTTTTCATTAGAAGTAAAGTGAACTTAACAGGTTTTCTTCAATCACTGACTCTAAATCTCTCAAGAAGTTGTCTAACTCAAATTAGTTTGTCAAGTAGGCTAAAGGCTAGCTAGGCTATACGCCCGACAAAACTCAATATTATCAGGAAGAAAGGCAGAAAGACTCACGTACTGTTGATAGCTGGTGATTTATTTGAGTGTCATCAAGCAGGTTTCAAGTTCTTATAGGCTATAAAAAATCCACTGATGAAAATGACCCAAGTCTTCATAGCACCAGTTGCAGGAGCTCCTCTAGTTTTCGAACATGGCAGTTGAAAACTTAATGCCAAAAGGATATCTTTTTTAATATTAAGTTCTTGATTATTTGGAAAAAGCTAGATTGATAAATCTGTCATAGACATTTATCTCCATTGTTAGTTCCGAAGTAGAACAGCAAGAAAAAAAGTGATGAACTCTAACCAGCGATGACAGCAAATGTTCACATATTAAGTTGGAAAACGAACATGACAGACCTCCAGGTCCACTAAAAGAGTAACGCTAATCCTTAATGATCTAGAAGACACTTGTGTTGAGTGACAATCCTGTCCTGAAGTTCAAGATCCGACTTGCCCTCAGACCACATACCTTCATACGCACACCGTCCTACATCAGATAATCCACTACTTTTTCCAAGACAGACGAGTTTGGGAGCAAAATCCAACGGCGTCCCGAAGTTCTCAAGAATATATAGCTTTGCTCAGAGGAAAGAAGAGGGGAGGGGAATGTGAAAGCAAATGAAAAACCTGACAGGTCAAAACACAAGGGAAGAGCGGAGGCCTTCAAATAAGGTTGAACTCACCCAGGAATTGTTGGAAGAAGACAGATGAAAAAGAAAGCATCATTAAAGGAAGAGCTTGAGGAAAATGAGGAGACCATGTCAGGAGCATGAGTGAAATAGAGAGAGACAGAGAGAAACTGGTGGTTACCAGAACCACCCACTGTGCAGACTGCAAATGAAGAGTCCTGGACCAATCCTTCCCTCCCCTCATTCACAGAGCCATAGTCCTGCACTACCTTCTTTCCACAGCATGAATATATTACTTGCCACACAATGACGTTGCTTATTGTTTATGAATTACTGGCCTGCCTGACAACAAAGGCTATTTTCATAAGAAAATTCTAATTCATTTCAGTTCCTATTTGATTAGAGGCAGAAGAAAAGAAGCCCTTCGGTCATAGCCCCCAGAGGACTGTTTTTATTCAGTCCGTATGAATAGGGCTTTATTGCTCTTCTTTTCAAAAGCTGACGGGGAAAAGCTTTTAGAGTTAAACATTGACGAAAAATTATTGGGCGGCTGTTTTTGTGCAATAACAAACCCCTTCAAAAGGACACTGAGCTCTTATCCTTCCACCACTCACTCTTTTCTCTTTCTTTTTTGGCAAATTGTAAAGCCTGGAAATTAATGACAGTAGCAAAAAAAGGGAGAGAGAGAGACCAGCTCAGTCACAATGCATGTCAAATCTAAATGATCACAGGCTACTGAATAGAAAAAAGAGAGAGAGAAAGGGAAAGACAGGGTCTTAGACAAGCGAGTGTGTGTGTGTGTGTGTGTGTGTGTGTGTGTAGTCTGGTCAAAAGCTAATTGATTCCATGTCCACAGAGTCCTGCCGTTCCTTTTGCATTTCAACGACAGGTAGTGCACTTTAACTGTTACCATGAAAAGACTGGGAGTCTCTGGAAAATGTCAACTTTTTGTCAACAATAACAGATTGTTAAACCGATTACTACCCATTATGTCCTAAACTCAGACTTCAAACCAATGTAAACACCATTAGTGCAGGTTTGAAGCATCTTTGGTGATAAACTGTGATATATTTTACTGATAATAGCAAGGCAGTGCAAGTTGTAGCCTTTTTCACAAAGCGTCACTGAAAGCGGCACCCATCTTCCAAACTCAATATGCTGTAAAAAGAGAAGCGAACCCACAGAGAACAAAAATGAAAAGGCCAACCTGGCATTTATCTGCAGGTTTTATCTATACACTAAAGGATAAATCAGGATAAATCAGGGCTTCCTTTTATCAGGAGGGCATTATGCTCCTTTGTATTTATGCAGGAATATTTAACAGGAGACAAAAGGTGACTTTCTCCTTATTCATCTGTGAACAAGGCAATGCTGGCATTCTGAAAAGCCTGACATTTGAGCTTTTTGCCAACACCAGCAAAATTATATCCTTTCCATTGTAAATCAATGAAGTAGAATCATCGCCCACAAAGGAACTAGATTGCCTTGTCACTGTAATAGAGCCTGGTGCATGCACAACCTTCACCAGAACTGTTGTGTGCAGACGAAAGACAAGGGCATAAAGTCATCCTTGTCATGCCCTTCCCTTTGACAGAGTACAGAAACTTAAAGCTTAAACTTCTGAGTTGAGCACCCCAAATGGCTGTTCATACACAGTTAAGACGTGTTATCATATTGATCATGTGGTAAATAAATATGAGGAGTTCAGTTTGAGGGTTGTAGGTTCATGGTTTTTACAGTGGGAAAATGCCCTGTACATTTATAATTTTAATGGAATATATATATATATATATATATATATATATATAAATGATATTTATATAATGACATATTTCTCCTCAAAGGTTTGGGGTCTGTTTTTATTTTATTTTTTTAAATAAAAATATATATTTTTTTTATTCAACAAGGATAGATCAAAACTGACATTAAAAGACATTTAAAATAACATTTTAATTTGAATTAATTTTACATTTTAAATAAATGCTGTTCTTTTGAACATTCTATTCATCAAAGAATCCTGAAAAAAAAAATATTAAGCAACTCTTTTGAGCAGCAAATCAGCATATTACGGGAGAATGATTTCTGAAGGATCATTTGACACTGTGACTGAAGACTGGAGAAATGATACTGAAAATTCAGCTCTGTAAATCACAGGAATAAATTACATTAAAATAATATATATAATAAAATAGAAAGTTGTTTTAAATTGTAATAATTTTTCACAATATTACCATGTTTTACTTCCCAAATAAATGCATGTGAGCATAAAATGGTTTCTTACAAAAACATCTTAACCCAAAACTTTTGAACGGTAGTGATATAATCAACATGATATATACTCTGCCTGTAAAAGAAAGTCAAGTGACATTTTTTAGCCAGCCAGTGTGAACTCACCTAAAGTATTATTAGGAACACCTTTTCAATTTCTCATTAATGCAATTATTTAATTAACCAATCACATAGCAGTTGCTTCAATGCATTTAGGGGTGTGGTCCTGGTCAAGACAATCTCCTCAACTCCAAACTGAATGTCAGAATGGGAAAGAAAGGTGATTTAAGTAATTTTGAGCGTGGCATGGTTGTTGGTGCCAGACAGGCTGATCTAAATATTTCACAATCTGCTCAGTTACTGGGATTTTCACAGAGAACTGATGTATTCAGTAAAGCATTTGTGAAGCCACAACACACACAACCTTGAGGCGGATGGGCTACAACAGCAGAAGACCCCACCGGGTACCAACCATCTCCACTACAAATAGAAAAAAAGAGGTTAAAATTTGCAAGAGCTCACCAAAATTGGACAGTTGAAAACTGAAAATATGTTGCCTGGTCTGATGAGTCTCGGTTTCTGTTGAAACATTCAGTTGGTACACTGTAGAAAAAATATTGATGGTTTTACTTAAAAAAAAAGTAAGTAACCTGGGTTGCCTTAACATTTTAAGTTGATTGAACTGGAAAAAGTGAGTTAATACAATGAAGTAGATTAATTTAACCATCAGAAACTCAAAATAATAAGTTATCTTAACTAAATAAATTATTATAAAGTTGATTTGACAAAAGAAAATATGTTGTGAGAACAAATCTTGAAAATATTTTTTACAGTGTAGAGTCAGAATTTGGCGTAAACAGAATGAGAACATGAATCCATCATGCCTTGTTACCACTGTGCAGGCTGGTGGTTGTGGTGTAATGGTTAACTGCAAGATCTATCCTATCAACATGGGCCAACATTTAATGCTTTCAGCACCTTGTTGAATAAATGTCACGTAGAATTAAGGCAGTTCTGAAAGCGAAATGGGGTCAAACACAGTATCAGTATGGTGTTCCTAATAATCCTTTAAAGGTGCCATGTGGGATTTTTAGCGATATCTAGCTGTTCGGTTGCGAGTTTGTACCAGGTTTGCACTAAGGGCTCAGCCCACTGCTCACCCCTCCCTTTCGAAGAAGCTACCGTTGCTAAAACGGGACAAACATCTCGTCGGCTGAGACAGCAGAGAATAGCCAGAGTAAGCCAAGAGTGTGTAACATTGTCACTGTTTCTGTACTTTAGACATTGCACCTTTAAGTGAGTGTATATCACAATAAGATTCTTTAAAAAAAGTGAGGAAAAAAGAAAAGAGGAAAAAAGTGAGTATTACTTTCTTGTAATTTTATGTTTACACCCAACTGATGCCATTGAATTAAAGCAAATAAACAAATTTCTTTATTTACAGAACTAATTTACAGTAACATGGATCTGAGATGAACACTAAATAAATATTCTACATGAATTCAAATGAGATTATTCTACAAGTGTTGTGTAAGAGCTATAGGAATAAATGTCAAGTTCAGTAATTAGTCACAGATAGTGAAGTCCATAGATAACTTCACTTTGGCTTTCACTTTGGTCACACTAAGTGACACTGAAATGAATAGTCTTAACTCGTCTCGGATGAAGGCATGATGTGTATCGTATTGTGATAAAGAAGCTATTAAAATAATGTCCCGTCACAGCTTGAGTTACAATGGCACCTAAAACAAGTATTAAACATAACAACATATATGAGCATTAGCTTAATGTTCCTCATTTAACAGCATACCTTTTTGTCTGTATGAGTGTTGAATTGATGTTTAAGTATAAACATCTAAATCATTCGTAAAAAATAATTAAATGGAATGAAAAGGTGCATGGTACCACATAATGTAAATATTCACAGATTCAGCATTTTAAATCTGAGAGCATCTTCATAAAAGTTATCTAAAAAAAAAATGTAACAAAAAAATCCAATAATCTCTTGAACCTTTGTAATGACAAAAGTGATTTGTAGAAAAACAGGATGCTCACAACCCCAGACATCGGTGGAATGCGAAGACTGAGGTACTGTCTGTCGAAACACCATAACATTAGGTGAAAGGCGAACTTGTCAGGGACATTCACACTAACATTAACGCCATCAGAAGAGATTAGGATGCACCTGATTTAGCTACGACTTCGAGCAAACAAGTCACGTCATGATTGTTCAGCTATAAAATTTGTGTTTTTCAAACTAAATAAAAAACTCTGCTTGGTAAAGATGCACTAAAAGACCTAAGACCTAAAGTCTTTTAGAGTTTAAACATTGGAATGAGCCATTTTAGGCCAATTATGTTTCATTATGTTATTACAGACTTCCTGTATGTCCATGGTGCTTTCAAGCTAAGACAACATCTGAAATTTCAATGTTGAACTTGAACTTCCAGGTCACCTAACCATAGCGTAACAATACAAATAAGGTATGGTGCCCCTAAAGGTACCTGGTGATAGAAAAATAAATAAATTAGATGGAAGAAAAATGTATTAATTTTACCTCCCATCACATAATTGTTCCACCACCTTGCCACTTTAGGGACTTCATAATAAGGGGGCATATCATAAATTGGTCTCATCCCAAGAAAGATCATTTATATTCTTTAGCATTTTTCTAACTATCCTCTCCAGATCTTTTCTGGCTCTCTGTTCTTCCTCCAAGGATTTCTTCATTTTTTTATAGTCCTGTTGGAATGGTAAAATCATGTAACCAGGCAATGTAAACTACTAAATATTATTATTTTCTACAAGATTAATTAAAATATTAAGAAAAGCTTCCTCATGCCTCACTCACCCGTTTAAGTTCTTGTACCTCATCTTTCAGAGCATAAACAACATCCACAAGGCTCCTAGGAAACATTGGACATCATTAAATAAATCAGTGCATACTTCAATAATAATACCATAATGCTGAAGCTCTATTCAATTAATGTGCTCTTGACAACAACCTTTTTTAACAATTGTTATAAACGCTCTTCATAAGAATGGCCAAATATGCAGTCTTACTTCTCCTCCAGAAGAGTCTGACCATTACTCTTCAACTCGTCTACACTGAACTTCTCCTCCCCAGGAACTATCAGTGCTGGACTGGCATCTTTCCACTGTCCTGTTCCAAAAGAGAAGCCCCGCATATTGATTTCAGGAGGTTTAGTTCAGTTGGATTTATTGATTGGCTCAGTACAGGACCACTCTGCCTCAAAGAATGGTTTGGACTAGATCAAACTTACACAGGACTGTGAGAGAGTGAGACAGGAATTAGTCATGCAGAGAGGGATCGGATCATCCAAAATAAATAAATAAAAGCATTTAAAAAAAACAAAAAGAGCACCAAGGGTTTCCTGAAGGACGGTAAAACCACACACATACAAAACAGCCGTAAACAACAAACAACCCACTAAACGAAAATAAGAAACAAACTTGCAAAAAAAACTTTTGTTGTAAGAGATCAATTCCTGAAAGCATACAGTACAAAACAACCCAAGATTTATTCAAAATTTATATTACAACATTTGTGGTATTTTGTCATATATTTGACTCTGCATATATATATATAACAATCACATTAATAATGTCTTGGTTTCAAATCACGGAAACGGCACTGAAGCATCTCTGTTGAACAGTTTTAAGAATATCTGCCGTAAACGACCAACAAAAAGGTAGTAAATACATATTTTCTTCTCATTCTTTTTTTTTAACCACAGAATAGAACTTGGTCACAAGAAATCACATTACATGAGGAATTGTACTCTGTCATTATTGAAATAATTGGCAAGTTGGTTTTCTTGTTTGTCTCAAACACATCATACATAAAAGAGGAAAAGCATCAAACACTGAGGCTTTGACAGTCTCGAATGAATGGTGAAGAACTCTTGACTATTACCATCCACACACCTGATTTAAATGGATTCTAATAGAATTTCAACCAACATTAAATTCAACTTTTTTTCTGTAAATTTTCATACTTTTCACTATAGACACCACTATAAACTTACATGTTAGATACAAGCATACAAAAAGTCCAAAATCATTCAAAATACATTTACAAATTGAAAATAAATACATTTATATCACATAAGTATGAACAAAACGTCACCAATAATACTGTCCGTGGTGCCATCTGAGAATCATAGTTATGAATTTCATGAACACTTATTCATGAAGTTCTCTGATAAAGACCCAACTCCTCCTGTCAACAGAGCGGAATTCGAATGTTCACATTCAGTAAACAAAGTCCAAGGTAATACCAAACATTTCAGGTGAATGACAATACTCTATTTACAGACATGTTAGATGCTAGCATATTTTTTCTTTTACAGCAGAACCTGTCCTTGTTGCCTTTGGAGTGCATTGTACCTTCAACAGCATTAATAATTAAATACATCTGGGAATGAGGGAATAAGAACAACATTTTTTTTTAAAGGACACTTAAATCAATTTTGAATGCGAGGCAAACAACGTTAAAAAAAACAAAAAAAAAACATTGAGTTAAGGGAGGTTGGTGGTTTTAGGTGGAGTTTAAATGTCAAGGCAACAGGGAACTGCTTTGGGAAAGTGCATATATATGGAGAAAACGATGAGGTGTGATTAATACAACACTGAGAAATAAATAAATAAAAATGAATAAAATAAATATGTATTAGAGTGACATCATTAAATACATAAATAGTTTCAAATAAATATAAAGTCATTTAAAATAAGAGGAGTGAGGGGAGATTAATTTTGGTGGGAGATGTAGGAGCTCTTACGGGAAACAGAGCCCATCCTGTAACTGTGGGCCGTCCATATACTGTCATAGTCAGAGTCCTCAGAGAGGTCTGAGGTGGCCTCGGGCCTTGAGATACTGCTACGGCGGCCCAGAGAGTCCACACTGGATTGATCCAAGACATGGTTATGCATGAGATCAGTGCCTTGCCATGCTGAAGAATCCGTCCGGTCACAGATGATGAGAAGGGGATCAAATCATATGAATGAAGGGAAGGGGGGAGGCAGGGAGAATCGCAAACGGAAGGGGAAGAGAATAAAACAAGAGGGCCGACCAAAAGAATGGACATGGGTGGGAGAACCAATAATACCGACATAGTAAATAAGTTTTATAAAGAAATGATTAAATAAAAATGAAAGGGGGGAGGGGGATAAACAAATGAACATTAAGTATGATGAGGAAAAAAGAGAGAGGATATTGTTATAAGAGATCCAAGAATAAACATGTTAAGATCAACAGACTTTAGTTTATAAAGGACTGCGGTTCTATGTTACACACGAGAAGTTGATATGAATGAGGAAAGTTTTAAAAGAAAAGAGACGGAGGTGGACGGGGTCGCATACAAGACTTACTTGAGTTCAGAGTCTGCCTGGTTTTGGCACTAGTACAGTAGGCCTCAATCACTTTCAGAATCTGAGCGTCTTCCTCCAGAGCTACAGTACCTGCACAGGTCAGAGGTTACATCAGACACATGATCTTTAGAATCTCTCGATTTCAATAACCATATCAAACCTGCCGACTTACTCTTCCTCAGTGCAAACTCCTCATCGGACGGCTTCCTCTCCGGCTTTCTTTTGGGCAGCAGCTTTTTCATTGTCTTGGGACTTTTACTGAGGTCCTGAAAATGGAAGAGGAATGGAAAGAATATGAGAGGTGAAGAGGAGACTTACAGAGCCATAACACTCAAAATAATACTGACTACAATATCAAGGGAAATAATCAACAATTATGATGTATGATGTATGTAATAATATAATATTTCCACAATATTTGTAACAGGAGGTCCAGTATGCTGCATACCTCTTTATAGCAGAGAGCTGCTGAGGGCCTGAGTGGGGGTGCTGGACGCAAGCAGCTCAGGCTCCAGGGCTTCTGGGTTTTGGGGGGCTCCAGGGGGCCCCACATCATGGTGCTGTGTGGGGCCCCATGAGAGGAGGGATGTGGTAAGGTGTGGTAGGCAGGAGCAACTGTCAGGCCCCGGCTTTCTGCATGTCTGGATGGCGTCAAAGGGTGAGACGGGAGCTAGGGGGGTAAAATTTAAGCTGACATTTAAGCTGAAGATAATTGACAGGTCGCATTTCAACCCAAAATAAAAATATAAATGTTTGTGTTACATTACGCTTGACTTTATATTGTGTAAAGCTCTTAAAGGGCTAGTTCACCCAAAAATGAAAATTCTGTCATTATTTACTCTGGTATTTCCAAACCCTGAAATATATTTTTAATGAAATCTAAGCGCTTTCAGTCCTTCCATAGACAACTTTGTAACCACCAATTTGATGCTTCAAAAAGTTAAAAGAGAGATTGTAAAACTAATCCATATGAATTGAGCAGTTTACTCAATTTATTATGAAGAGACAATCACTTTTATATTCACAAATAAACATTCACCAACTCACACATCAGTTGTGGTCAACGGAATCTCTATGAAGGTAAAAGAGTAGCAATACTTGAGAGTACGTAGATGTGAATTTGAGAACTTGTACAATGAATATTCATAGCTCCGATGTGAAAACCTGTAAAATAAAAACCTGAACTTGAACGCTGAGATGTTTCAGAGTTGAGCGTTTCAGACTTTATATTTCTGCAGTATATACCTGCAGTTCCAAATGCAGAATACAGGTTTGTGACTGTTGTCTGCGAGTGCAAATCTCAGTGTTCAAGTTCAGATTTTTAATTTAAAGGTTTTTACATTGGAGCTGTGCATACACGAACAAATATTTATTATACAAGTTCTCAAATTCACATCAACGTGCTCTCGAGTTTTGCTACTAATTTACCTTCATAAATCTCAAGCATGTTCACTTGACGTGTGAGAACCAATGAGGTTCTTTCCCGTATTACGAAGAACTGTTTAGCTTCTGCAAGAACCAACAAGGTCTTTTCTCACCAAATTTGGACTAAACCACTTAATTCATTTGGATTAGTTTTAAAATGAATTAAAAAAAAATCTAAATTAATTTGCTTATAAAAATATCTTTATTTGTGTTCCAAAAATAAACGTAAGTCTTACATGTTTTGAACAATGTGGTTGAATAAATGATGACAGAATTTTTTGGGTGGACTAACAAAACACAAGTGTGACTTTTCAAAGAGAAACACAAGTGTGTGTTGTTTTTACTTTTTTGGGAAAACTCTTCTGCATAGCAGCTATAAAAGTGCTAAATAAATTTAGTAAAATAAATAAAAACATAAGTAAATACAAATATATGTAAATAAAATACATTGTGTTATTTTGCTCTTGACTACCTTGTGTAAAGCTGTTTGCCAGTTTTACAAATTGTGTGTTTTTAAGATTTTGTACAGCCTTTTATGCACAGTGGATATAAAAGCCTTTTAATAAATAAATAAATAATGTAAACTGTCTACTTTTAGATATTTAAAAACTTTAATATTTATATTTATGAATATTTAAATACTATATGTTTGGTTTTCAAAGATGTGACTTTGAACAGGTGACTCACTGTATGGCAGGGAACAGCGAGGGGTTTCATGCTAGGAGCCGCCATGGTGGTGTGTTTGGTCTGTCGGTTCAGATGCTCGAGCCAGTCCTGCAGATCCTGTTTGTTATAGCAGATCACCTGAAGCCTCTCAAACATGCTTCCTATTGGGATGGACACACACAAGCACAGTCAATGAATGACTAAGAATGATAAAAACACTTGATTGTGTCTTGAACTCAAAGAAATGTGAGTCAGTTTGTCCTTACCCGAAAGCTCAAAAGCATTTTTATGAGTTTCACAGTCATCTAATGGGGTCACCGTCATCCCACTCAAAGGCAACTTGCCCTAAGAGAAACAAAGCAGGTGTATTCTTTTTGTGCTAGAGCTGCAAGTTCTATTTTAAAGGGATACTCCACCCAAAAATAAAAATTCTTTCATCATTTACTCACCCTCAAGTTGCTGCAAACCTGTATGAGTTTCTTTCTACTGCTGAACACAAAGGAAGATATTTTGAAGAACGATTGGAATTTTGCCACCATTGACTTCCAAATGGAAGTCAATGGTACCAAACAGCTGTTTGGTTCCAATCTTTCTTCAAAATATCTTCCTTTGTGTTCAGCAGAAGAAATTCAATTCATACAGGTTTGCAACAACTTGAGGGTGAGTAAAGGATGACCGAATTCTAATCTTTGGGGGGAGTATCCATTTAAAGGTCCCATGACATGAAATTTTCACTTTCTGAGTTTTTTTTTTTTTTACATTAATATGAGTCCCCTTGCTTTTCTATGGTCTTCCAGTGGCTAGAATTTTCAGTCGGTGTAAACCGAGCTTTGGCTATCTTTCTCAGCCTTTGAGAAAATGAAAGCTCAGACAGACTGATTTTGAATCCCCTCTGTATGATGTCATACGGAGGAAAGGTAACCTCCCCTTTCTCTGCTTTATCGCGAAGAGAATTTGGCTCGCCCATGAGAAAATGAGCTAGAAAGTAACAAAGCTCTTACTGTATCAACATATTTTCATTGGTGAAAGCCTTAGAGAGAGTGCAGAAACTGCATTGCAAAAAGATCTTCATTTTTGCGATCAACAGACTGTCCTCTGCTTGCTCAATGCTCATCACAGCAACATTTTATGTGATGGGAATGGATCTAAATATTTTAAAAACTTCTCACGATTTGTTAATCTCGATAGCAGTAATAGTAAAAATGTATAATAGCTGTAGTAAAAGTATTCCATTGAGTTTCACATGTGATTTGTAGCTATTTCATATGCAAGTCATGCATATGCATGTCAGCCAATCACAGCAGTGGGCAGCTACACTGAATCTCACAGCAGACACGCCCTTTCAAACAGAGCGTTCAAATCAGAGGCTAAAAATCAGGCTAGGAAAAATGCCTTTTATTTCTAAATTATGACTACTTGTGATCTAAAAAACATACTAACATTATAAGGGCAACCCAGGAAACATTATAAAATAATAAAATAACCCCATGTCAGGGTTATTAATGTGCGTGTTGAAAATCTTGATGGTATTTTAGGGTGGAGTGGTGGAGTGAAACAATGAGATTTATTTGACTGTGCATTAATCAGCTCTGACAGCAGCTGGTTTCTGACCTGGTAGATGAAGCCACTCATCCTTGGACTGGCAGATAGGATGAGCAAAATATGAGGAAAAAGCAGAAGGTAACGCTCTTGCTTCTCCTAAAAAATAAAAAATAAAATAACACATAATAACACAGCCATTGTAACTGAAGAACTGAATTCACAGTAGAAAAACTATTGGCATCTTGTTTTTTTGTTGTTGGTTTTTTTTTCAAAAATCTTGATTTTTCTTGTAACAATTCAAAAGATTATTAACCCACTTGATAAACACATCACTACTTACTCTAATCTTGTAAATAACTGTAATAATAAAAGGTTTCCTGAACACTACCAATAGTCGTGTTTGCACCAACAATATTTTTAATTTAATTTTATCACAAATTGTTAAAACGCTCAAGCTATCCTGGGTGTATATGACTTTATTCTTATAGCCGAATACAATCAAAGTTCATAACTTTGTAATGACATTGAATAGTATCCAAAAAGCGCATCCATTATAAAATAATCCATTGAACTTCAGTGGGTTAAATAAATACCTTCTGAAGTGAAGTGGTGGGTTTTAGTAAGAAAAATTTCCATATTTAAAACTTTTTAAACTATAATCACTGTGTTTTTGCAATGGCCGTGGCCGTATTCACAAGTCGAGTTCTGTTCAAGTCCGATCCTCTTCTCTTATATCGAAATCCGAAATTATTTACTATAACTCCAATTGTGTTCGGCTGAAAGAAGAAAGTCATATACACCTAGGATGGATTGAGGGTGAGCAAAAAATATGGGATAAATTCAATTTTTGGGTGAACTATTTCTTTAAAAACTATTTCTTTTCACATAAATCAAATTCACACTATTAGGGGAGAATATATTGAATGAATGAATGAATGAATAAAGGTTTATTCGGTTACTAAACATAAAACAGAATACATATACATCAAATTCATTACAAACAAAACAAAAAAGGTAACCGAGCAGGTGTAGGCTGAAGCCGTGGCTTATTACGCCTACCCTAATATTCATCAGGTCTGTCAGCTATTGAGGTCTTTGTGCTGTCTCACCTCACAACGATGGTTCTGGACAATGGCCTGGCTCATATACAGCACTGACCCCAGGGTCTTGATGTCCTCCCCCTCCCAGAGACGAATCGCCTCAGTCAGGATCTGAAGCTCAAGCTCCTTACGCTTCCGCACCTCCTGACACTGTGCCTGTAACCATGACAACACAATACATTAAGAAGGCTGGTTGTCATGGGAATGATCCACACCTAACTGCAGTGGCAAGTTAACACTCACAGAGAGATTCTTGAAAGCTGTCATACATTTCTGAATTTCTATCCTGTCTGGATGACCCTCCTGAAAGGGAAATACGACAGTGTCACATTGAGGACGATAAAAACCTCAACAGAAATCAAACAAACACTCTCTCTTCTACCTCCATGTGTCTCTCCAGTTCTTTCAGTAATGTGGGATATTTGTCCAGTCTCATGAAGGGTTTGCTGAGGCCAGAGGTTAGTGTGAGAATACCTGGTATGGATGCACCCCTTCCCTCCATGAACTCTCCAAGTTCCTCACTGCAGGCACAGAAATGAGAAGTCATCACCAGTTTTCATCTATCAAACCAGTGAATAGGTTCTCTGTGAAATCAAAACACAGTATAGATGAGTCACAGTACCTGTGATCAGTGAGAATACTGACTGCCGACGGGTGGTTGGAGCAGTAAGACACATAAAGAGACCTCATCTGGGGCATGAGATTCAGGAAGAACCCCCCGACCTTCTGCTGAAGCTCTGGAAGCCTTAATCACAGAACATTGGGAAGAATTCTTACACACACTGTACTGATGTTCCTCAAATATTCTGCTCAGGGTTCAATCTAGGACATAAATCCTTAATTTCCAATATTAAAAACACATTCTGTAATTAATTCAGCCCAAAACATTTAAATTCACAGATTTAATTTCAAACCTTATTTAGTAGATACACTACCATTCAAAAGTTCGGATACAGTAAGATTTGTTTGTTTTTTTAAGAAAGAAATTAATAATTTTATTCAGCAAGGACATATCAAAGGAATGCAGTTCCAGCAAAAAATGGATGACTAGTAATTTCTTAAAACTTAATTTTGAAAAAAAACAAATGTTTTAATTATTGGACCAAAAACCTCAGCATGACATAAGCTAGAATACTGTCAAACACTTGATGGCTGCTCAGTCTTTTTTAAAAGTCTTTTTCTCTTTGAAAAGTCACGTTTTTAGCATCTGTAAAACCGTAATAATATCTAAATTATGATATGGTTTCAATGAAAAACGCAGAAAAGTTGGTTAAGTCGTTCGTGACCTCAAAGCTAGATTATTGTAATACTCTACTGGGTGGTTGCCCTGCACGATTAATAAACAAAACAAATGTGTTCTTACTAGAACTAAGAAGTATGACAATATCAGCCCGGTTCTGTCAAGACTGCATTGGCTGCCTATAAAACATTTTTAAAATTTTGCTAATTACTTACAAATCAGTACTTGATCTCAGTACTTGAACGAGCTCTTAGCACATTATAGACCTTCATGTCTATTGCAATCTCAAAATTCTGACCATTAATAATACCTAGAACCAAACTCTAGAATAGTCTTCCTAGCCTTGTTCAGGACGCAAACACACTCTGTCAGTTTAAATCTACACTAAAAACACATCTCTTTAACCTGGCATACACAAACACATTTTCATATTTCTATAATTCACATCCATTAAAGGACTGTTAGGCTGCATAAACGAGGTCAACAAGAACACTTCCATTACTAGTGATGGGAGAAACGAACGAATTGCTTCGCGAAATGATTTCAAAACGCTTGTTACCCTTGTTGGTCAGAACAGTGTAAATGCAACAAAATCATTAGGCCAAACATGCATAAAAAAGCTATTACAAAGCCATATGAAATGTTTTATTGAAAGTAACATTTTTCAAATGCAATTAACTAATCATCTACTAAGATTTAATATTAAGTGTTCTTTTATCAGTTTTCATGGTTTGTTTTGTATGTTCCATAGATGGCTCAGCTAAACATGCCAATAAGAGACTATTAACTACTAGTAGTCCTTTTAATTATACTCATGTCTCATTAAAACAGCTACAAATGTATAAAACTGATCAGAGATCAGGAAAACACCATAGACGCTTGTTCAATGTTTTGCCGCTGGAGGGCGATCTCAGGGAATTCGCATGATTCATGGGTTCACAGATCATCATCCACAATAACCCCCCCCCCCCCCCCCCAAAAAAAAAAAGATTGATAAGGTTTTTTTAGCTTCATGAAGCAGTGTTTTGAAATCGCCCATCACTACTTGTTACATCGTAAGCAGACTATGCTAATATTAATCTCTCCGTTTATGCCGAGGTTACCGTAGTCAGACGTATCCTGTCGATATCCAGATAAGATGGTGGACCTGCACCTAGACACGACCACAATGCAGCCCTGATTGTCAGCAGAGATCCTGCCAACTAGACAATCCCCTGTGAAGACCTCGCCAACATGACAGCCATCGGCACTAGGGGCGTTTCCTCTGAGGAGGCAAGGGAGGCAGAGTCTCCTCAAAAAATTGGATGAGAAATCCTAATAATCCATATTATAAAAATAAAACAACGCAAATCTTACTAAAAGTGTCATTAAAAATCATAGAAATCGATTTTTTTTTAAGTACCACTGTCCAACAGTGACAATGACAGTAAATCCTCTTGTGCCTCCCCTGAGCCCATTGAGTTTTAACACACTCCTAAAGCGTGTGGTGGGGCTGATAGGGGTAATTAAGAATGAATGGGGGAAAGTCACGTGAAAGGAGGCAATGCCTCCATCGCGCTATTATTAGGTAGATTGGTTGATTGGTTATGGTAGGTTGATGCGATAAATCCCGCCTCTTGTTTTCAAACCCATTTGCGAATCTGTCTGAATGAACAAGACTAATTAAACAGCAAGTAAACAACTCATCCACTTAGATATCACCGCTTAATGTCACATCAAAATCAAAATTTGACTGGACTGAAAGCATGATGTAGGGATTTTTTTAGTAAGCGATCAGCTTGGTGAAATTTAAGGTACATCTTTGTCTGTGATCAGTGTTTACCGAGCATGATAACCGATGAAAATGAGTTGACTATTAAAAAGAATTTTTAGAAAGAATTAAACAGAATTTTCTCTCTATACCAATCAGTGGTGTTTATATGTATATAAACATTAAAAACTGAGGACTTGGGTGAGGACTGAGGCCTCATGTCAGAACACCACTGATTGGTACATATCCTCAGCAAAGACCACAAGAAACCGACAAGTTATCTGCACAGACCTATGACCAGCTTATCCATACTGAAGTGATGAACCCAATCATGAAGCAAAAGGAACCGGATGAAATATTTTAATGAAACAAAATATTCCACAATCTGAATTTTACTTGTGATGCAGCCTGAAAAATAATCACACCACCATGTTTGTTCTGTTCATTGGCCAGAGGAGAACTTTGAAGGTTCATGTGACACTGATGCAATGATGCTGAAAATTCAGCTTTATCACAAAAGGAATAAATTAGAATGAAAAAAACAAACTATTTTTAAAATACTACTACTGCATATTTTTGAACAGTAGTGTTCAAAGTCTTCACTACTCATTTTTGTTTTTCACAAACTTTATATTTAAAATTTTCATTATTTTATTAAACTAGTAATATGTAGCAGTATGTTTTTATTCTTAGATCTCAGATATGTATTCTTTACAAAAAAAATAAACCACTTACTTTCCTTAACAGGTATAAACGTACTCCGTTACTTGCGTAACCTTGGTTTCCTGAAATACGGGAACGAGTACTCAAACAGGAATAAGTCAAAACTTACACACAACAGATGTAGAGATAACAAGACTGGAAAATACTACACAAGTTTTTCAGCAAAAATGTTTGGGTTTCCTTTTGATACTTTATGTTATGGGGAAAACTCTTTTTTTCTCCGAATTCTGAAGCCTTTTTAATCACACAGTGAAACTGTACGCCATTGGTTCGTACAGAGTAATAAAACGAACCAATGGCGAGACAGCAGAGTTGCACGACCCTATGGCAGAGAAGCCCGCCAGAGTGCGCCAATTTGGGCGTGGAATCTGGCTATAAAGCAGGTGATCTGGCATAGGATACTCAGATTAAATTCAACTAAAGCGACAAACTGAGAGCGAAGAGGAATAATCTCTGCCTTCCCGAAGATCTCTCATATTTTGTGAACCATGTGGGGGTGAAGCATCCACTCCTCTGAGGGGACATTGCTTCGAGATAGCATGTCTGCCCCTTGGTTCGCCCGGCAATCAGGATTCCTCACTGGGGGACAGTGAGCTCATGGCGAAATTGACCCAGAGTCAATTGACCTTGCCTCCAGTACTCCAAGGCACTCCAAGTGGCTAAGGAGCGCAGATCTGTGATAGTTTAACTCTGCCTCCGACTGGGCCTAAACAAGCCAGATTGTCAAGATAGTTCAAAATGCGGATTCCCATCTGTCTCAGAGGGGAGAGGGCCGCATCCATGCACTCATGAAAGGCCGAACAGCAGACAGACCGAACAGCAGGACCGTATACTGAAATGCCACTCACCTGAAGGCGAATCTGAAGAACCGACTGTGATGGGAGGCTATCTGGATGTGAAAGTATGTGTCTTTCAGGTACAGAGAGAAGTATTTGCGAGATCATCCTGAACGCAATTCAGGCATCTGAGCCCAAAGATGGGTCTGAGTCCACCATCTTTCTTGGGGACAAGGAAATAAAGGCTGTAAAAGCCTAACTCGCTCTGTCCTGGCGACACCGTTTCTATGGCTCCTTTCATCAGTAAATTCATCACCTGGGTACGGAGGACGAGAGCGTCTCTGCTCCTTACTGAGGTGGGAACCATACCGCTGAAGAGCGGGGGGATCTGCGAGCGAATTGTAGATCATAACCTTGTTTTACTATCCCCAAAACCCATTCTGACACTCAGGGGATGGCCTCCCAGGCATTGGCCTGAGTGGCAAGAGGTTCTATTAGGTCGAGCGACAGGCCGTTGTGCAGGGGCTTGGGGCTTGTGGTAAGTGGAGAAGGAAAAGTGAAGGAGTCTTTTGAGTATGTTTGTGTTCATTATCACACAATGTGTATTGTGTTAAAGTGTTAAACCATTGTGCATAAGTTTCGACTTATTCCTGTTTGAGCTCTTAAACACTAGAAGTCAATGTAAACATTAGACAACTCTAGTGATACTCAAATCCTCTTAAAGGGATAGTCACCCAAAAATTAATATTTTGTCATCATTTACTCACCCTCATGTTGTCCCATGTTGGTAACCAGACAGTTGAAGGAACCCATTGACTTCCATAGTGGGGGAAAAAAATGGCTACCGTCAACTGTCTGGTTAGCATTCTTTAAAATATCTTCTTTTGTGTTCAACAGAAGAAAGCCACTCATATGGTTTTGGAACAACTTGAGGGTCAGTAAATGATGACAAAAAAATATTTTTGGGTCAACCTTCCCTTTAATGGACCTCAGGTTTACGTTACCGCCCAGGACTATTTTCATCATCTAGAAGACGAAACTCAATACATTTGATTGACTCTCAGTTTCACTAAGTGCTTAGTCCCTCCTGTCGTAAATGACTCAGTGGCTATTAAGAGAGTCCAGGAATCACACGGCTGTTCACGGTTAGAATGAAACTCACTTGGTGCAGTCCTCCAATGACTGGACCAGAGTCTGCTGGAAAGTGCTGATTTCCTCTAGGTTCCCGAGAATGACACTCACATCTGAGGTGCTCAGTCTATGAGAAACGATGAGAAAAGTCAATGCTTAAACATTAAGTCTGTACTTCACTCGAATAATGAAAAAAAAATTAAATGGGATTGGTTAAATTTTTTAATCACAAATATTTTCTTAATCACAGTTGATTAACACACTAATGCTCGGTTTCAAAAACAAGGCTTAACTTGCACTGATATATCTTAAAATATGTCAGTACCATTGTTTTAACTCAAAATGCACATCAGTAATGTTTTATGTCTAAGCCATGTTTATAAAAGCTATTTAAATGTCCTAATTTTATCTTCAAAACTAGCCGTAAAATTGGCAGCCCTAGTCAGAGAAGAAAGAATAATGTTCATTTTAAACCTAAATTGATTGTGTTATTTGTAGGATAGCAAGTGTTTTACTTTTCTGTCATCTGTAAAGGTCTCAGGTAGTTGGCCAAAAGGTTCTGGAGCTCCTTTGAATACTCTGTTTCAGTTTCTAAAATGTTCTGTAGCACCTGAAGACAAACAAACAGATATTTTTAACACAATGATAACTAATCAGCTGCGCTCATTCACAAATCAACTGAGTCTGATTATTGTTGTTTATGCACAAAACCTACTAAATTATGATAATCAACCTGGTGATGACACTACAAAAGGATATTTGATTAAAATGTACTTACCAGGTTGTAGTAGGTTTTACTGATGGCTGTGGTATCAAAACCTTTGGGGGGGCTTTTAAGAGTTCCAGATTTAGGGGACACTGGTTTGTCTGTAAGGCCACATGGATGTTTTAATAAATGTGCACTGTGGAGTGATGTGCTAGAGAAGACCGTGTTTATATATATATAATATATATATATATATATATAATGGTCTACAGCAAACTGAGACATACCTGACCCTTTGATCTCTTTGACATAATTGCTTGGAAACCAGCCTGTCTTGCCATTGAAGGATCCTTCCCACCAGCCCCCCTCTTCTGTGCGGGTAACATTGATAATGTCACCCTTGCTGAAAGAAAGCTCATCCTCATTGGTCTGCTGGAAATTGAAGCGAGCTTTAACCACTAACTGAGCGTTACTGTTCTCTGTCATGTCCTATAAGAGAGAGAGAGAGAGTACTTGTGTTTACATACAGCTTCATGAATCAGAAAATCAAAACTGACCCATTTACATTAATAAATGTTTGCACAAGACAGAGTTTCAGGGCACTGCTTCTAAAACCAATATGTTAAGTTACAAACATCAAAAGAAAGATATCTTTGCCTTTGAAACTCATCTAAAATATATGCCAACATAACAAGCTTCTCACATGGACAGTTTTATACACTACTGGTCAAAAGTTTGGTGTGTCAGTAAGAATTTTTATTAAAGAAATTAATACTTTTATTCAGCAAGGATGCATTAAATGTATCAAAAGTGAAATATTTTTTAAATAAATGCTTGGAGTATTTGATAACAATAAAGAATGAGAAATGCTAACATGAGAAATGCTAAGCAGTTTAGTTTACTATGAAACACTACAAATAATGCACATCTGCTCATTACTTAATCAAAATACACTTTAGATCACAGTCTGAAGTTATTACACGCAATCGATGATGATTTCTGTGTAGTACCAAACTTTATTTATATTAATTTACTGTTGTATGTTGTGCAGCAGATGAGGTTAAAGCCAAATGGGAAAACCTACAAGAAAAAACATTTTGTGTTCAGTATGAAAGCTCCGTTTGTCTGCGATTCATTTAGCTTTAAAGTGTCACGCTCAGTATGAGAGCCTTAAGAGACTTCTTTAAAAAAGCATTGAAAAACTTTGGAACAGTGGTGCAGATGTTATGCAGATATTTCCATTGAGATCTGGTAAGGTTGGTTGAGAAGTCTCACCCCAAAGTTACTCACAAGGCTGCAGAACTGGTTATGGAGCAATTTAGAAGATCGTCCCAGTGAAGACTGGGAGGCCAGCGATTCGAAGGATTTGATCCGGTGGGCGGAAGAGTGTCGCGTACATACAGAGTCGCTGCCAATGCCAATATCTACACCAACACAGAGAACACAAAAGAGAGTAACAACCACTGGGAACATCTGTAACAGTGCCACACATTATTATAGGAGCAAATTCAGAACTTTGAACACATTTCAAACTGTTAATAACTCTGTACTTTGGGATTTACATTTAAAATGTTTTTTTTTAAGAAACACTATGTAACTTTTTGTTCAAAATTAACAAAGTTATACATCAAAACCTCTTACAAAACGTATTTGTTTCTTACCCTGATTAATGGTAAGCCTATTTTAGGCGTTAGGAAAAGTTCAGAGTTCAATGTCAAGCATTATATATTGTGAAGTGTAATTTTATTATGGTTTTTGTAGCACAGTGCTGGAGTTTATTTTCCAGGAAGTATCGCGTGTCTAATAATAGGTAAAGCTACAGTAACGTCTCCAGCTAGTCACCTTGAGATCACTTCCATCTAAACTGGTTATATCTCTTAAGCTTAGTAGTAAATGTTTTATGAGCAGTAGGATTACCATATTCATCCGCAGTCATGCAGAGCCAAAGCACAACCAAAACAATGTTCTTCAGCAAAATGCATATGGTTTTATTTTTTAACCACTAGTGGGCCAAAAATTACATAGTGTACCTTTATAAGAATAATGTTTTAAGATACTAGACTTACCTGCAGTCACTTTATTGAGGGCAACCAGTGTAGTGAGGACTCTACTGAAGTTGTAGCCCTGAAGCAGGTCACCAGCCTCAAATGGCTATAGAGAGAGAAAAACAATATAAAACATCATTAATCTAGACCACCTACAAGTCAGTTAAAACAGTGAAAGAGCCATATAGGACTCTAGCCTATTTCAATCATTCAAAAATGTAAATTCTGTATGTCTTATGGGTTTGGAACAACATGAGGGTGAGTAAATAATGACAATTTTCATTTTTGGGTGAACCTTCTTTTGTGTCTCATTCTTGATCTCCAGTAGCTCACAATGCGCATGTTACGTTGGGTGAAATGGTAAACATCATTATGTGCTACACTGTAACAAAAAACAGAAAGGTTCCCAATTTGAATCCAAAGGATCTGTAGCCTGTCTTTAAACCACAGCAATTACGTAGATTGTATTTGTGCCGACCTGCATGACTTAGGCAGTGGGCAACTGGCATGTTTGCTCTCTAGTCCAATACATCAGGCTTTGCTTACCATGATCTTATGGGAGTGACAGGTTGTATATATAATGTGCATAAATAAACTATTTATAATAAAAACGGCAATATTCCACAAAAAAGAATCTTAACTTCATAGTGACAGTAGATGTAATAAATAAAGGCCTAAATCAGGCCAAATTTAGGCTATATGTAAAATAAAAAAATCATTAAACAACATAACATATTCCTCATAAGGAAAATATATCACCAAAGAGTTTTGTTTTGTCAACTCCAGCTTACAAGTCAACTAGCTTACAATAAGACCGAGTTGACAAAATGTAATATTGTTCCACCTTAAACAATTGTGTACAGTGGAGTAATTTTGTAGCTGCCTTAATAAACAGAACAAAAATACCAAGATTTAGCACAACTATTTACAAGACAGTCAACCATGCAAAAAACCAACAGTGTTGACATGTTAAAGATGTGAACACAGAGACTTCAACATAGTTTTTTTTTATAAAATATGAAGAAAAGAAAAAAGAAAAAAAAAAACTTCCAGGACTGTGTCCCATACTGTGGGATCCACAATGAGTAGGAAATCGGTACGGGTTGCTCAGAGTTAAAGATGCTGCTAACATTGCCTGATTTATTCAGAGTTTATGCAAAATGAGGACACAACTTTGATAGGCATTTTTAATGGAAAATATAAATTTAAGATTTACTTTTTGTATTGTTTGATATATTACAGATCTCTGCCTATTTTTGTTACATTTTGACCTCATGCTGAAGTTTTTTTGGGGGTTTTTTGCATTCATTTCCTAAGTATTAAGGGCTGTCAAACAATTAATCACATCCAAAATAAAAGTATGTGTTTACATAATATATGTGGGTGCACTGTGTATAATTATTTTGTATATACATACATATATATATATATATATATATATATATATATATACACACTGGTCTATTTAAGAAAAAAATATTATTTATATATAAAATATTTATATTTATATATAATATAAATTATATATAAATCTATATACAGTATATACATGAAAATATTCCTTAAATATATACAAGCATGTGTGTGTATTTATATACATAATTATACACAGTGCACCCACATTTATTATGTAAACACAAACTTTTATTTCGGATGCGATTAATCGTGTAACTGCCCTACTAAGTATACAGATTTTCTTTAGATGTAACTTAAGGATTTTTATTTTTATGAATTTCTTCATGTTTAGCATAAAGGGCTATTGTGTGCACAATCAATATAGTATTAGATAGATCTACAGTCTACATTCAGCATCCATGCAGACATTCATCAGTCATTTGTTATGTGTCCTGTTCGTTCCTCTCAGCAGGTGGTGTGGTTAGCTAAGGGTCACTGATGTCTCTTTGCTTATGAAGTGAGAAATCTGATTTGTTCAGCTCTAGATAGTCTGTCCTGTGTTGCTCTTTTGCAGCATTAGAACTGTTTGATTGACAGTTATGTGTACTTCTGTGAATGGACAGTGGCTGTGTGCATGTGAACTTCAGTGGGAGTAAAATTTCAGCTTCCACTTTACTTTCCGCTCTGATTACAGTTTATGCCCTGAGAGAAGTAAAAACAAATGTGTGTGTGTGTGTGTGTGTGTGTGTATGTGTATGAGTGGACATCGACAATGCATCATCTTGAGCGCATTGGCTTTCAAAGCAATGCTGCTCCTTCAGTGCTTTAATACATCACTATCTCTTTGGAAAATAATGTCCTACTTCTAAACCTAACATATAAGGATATCCAAATGGTTTTATGGAAATTATTTTATGTTCTCCTAAAATTCCATGGAAAATGTCATTTCAGAATTAAATTAAAAAACAAATCACACCTGGACCAGACTTAAAAAGCAGTTTCAGAAACAAGTTTACGAAGTTTGGGGACAGTAAGATGAAAAAAAAAAAAGAGAAACTAAATCTTATTCAGCAAGGATTCAATATATCAAAAGTGACATTTTTAATGTTACAAAAGATTTATATTTCAAATAAACTCTTTTGAAAGTAAACTCTATGTTCTTTTGAAATCCTGAAATATATCACTGTTTCCAAAAAACTATGATAATAAAAAAATCTATTCTATCATTCTATCATAATGCAAAATAAACAAATACAAATGAATACAGAAAATGTATTAAAATCTTTCATATTTAACTTAAAGGGGTCATCGGATGTAAAATTCATTTTTATATGGTGTTTGCATATAAATGTGTCTTTGCAGTGTGTGGACACAACCACCACAATAAAATTGGTTTAGGCTGTACATAAATATAATTCCAGTGAAAACAATACGATTTATAATTCCAGTGAAAACAATACGATCAATACGAATACAATACTAATGTGGAGTGATTCAATATGCGAAATCAAATATTTAAAAAAAAACAAAAAAACAATAGGAGTTGCATGATGGACTCCTAAGAAAATAGACTGCAGATCTGAAAATGTCATCATGTAGTTAAGCTTGAGATCACATCACATCTGAATGGGCTCAGGCAATGCTCGGTGAAGCAGCTTCAGAAGAGGCTGTTCAGAGTAAACTGGACACTGAGCAAGTTAGTGAAAATCCCCCAAACAACAAATTTAGAGCAAAGGTAATAAGCTTTCATCCCGTGAGGTCAAAATAGTCCTACTTTGATACTAAAAAGTGCCAATCAAACTCTCAGAAGATTAAAAAAGCCTTTTTTCAATCAGGCCTATAGTTGAATCATATCATGTAAATGATGTAAATCATGGGATGAGGGATGTCATCTGGGAATGTGCACACAAATCATGGCTGGAATGGCAGACATTCCTGAGGCATAATGACAATAACATGTCCTTGCAATTTCTGTGACAAGTGCTCACAGATGTAATAGTTTCACATAAAATCCTATAAATAAGTGTTTACTAACAGCTTATTTCTATTCCAAAATTTGCTTGTGACGCTGCACTGATGCTGTGATGACAGGGTTGATCCCCAATAGAGCCTTGGGCATTGGAATGTCAACCAGACACCTTTTAACAGGTCAGAGAGAAGCAAATTACTTTTACAGGGGTGTAACAACAAACACAAAAAGCAAGAACACTCAATATGAGAAAACTCAATTAAGCACAAGGTGATTATTGATTAAGGTGAAATTGATTCCATGGATGTTAAAGGTTCTTCATGAAACAATGGATGCCAATAACCTTTATTTTGAAGAATATGTATGCAAACAAACCCTGAGATGAATTCATTAACACAATCACTGGCAGTATATTTACATCTCTAGACATTTTCATACCTAGATAATGGTGCAGAAGCGATCTTAGATTTACAATCACAATGACACACAAGACACAAACATTATTCACAAAGATGAAGCATGATACCCACTGAGTTTGAGAAAAGGTTATAAGAAATTGTCAGCAGGCTACATGGTTAGATAATGCTTTTGACATTATGCGTCTACCAAGAGCTCCATATGTGACGTGGGCCTCAACCTCACCACATCTAGATACACTTGACAATACATTAGTGTTGCCCTGAACCATCTGCTCCTTAATAAATGCGCATAGATCAAAATCCTACTAGCCCTTTGTATGTCTTTCTGTGCATATCTGTGTCAAAACTGGCATGTTAATAGCCATTTTAACTAATCAAGCCATAAACCGTCTACCCATTGTGGACAGGAAAAAAAAAAAAAAAAAACATTTAGTAGGAAAAAAAAGACAGTATTTCAGATATAGCCTATTTTTATTCACATTATAATACAATCAATACTACATATTATAAACAGCTTTAGAATAAACAAATACAACAAAATAATTTAAATTAACTGAATATAGAGCATGGGCCAAAAAAATCTGTACATTAATATGCGTCTTCAATATATTGGGGGTTAGGCCTAACGTTACTTGGCGTTAAAAAGTTTTTTAAACGCATTATAAAAGTCATTTCTGCTAAACTTAACCAAGCAGAAAACAAAGCTTCTATCAAAGAATTTATAGCAATAACTCAAATTCATACACTCAATTGAAACTGTACGACAAACTGTGACGTTACATGAATGGACAAAGCAACGCCATTCATATCTGACAGAGCGAACACTATCGATGCTGTAGTGCACAACATCGCCCACAAAATCTAGATATTTTGTTGACAATGCGGTACAATAACCCGTACAATAACCCCAAAATAAACCCTAGGGACATTTTCAGAACATTACAAAGCTTTTGTCCCATCAGACTACGGCAAAGAATCTATGTGCAGGGAGGCATGATCTCATTCACACCGGTCCAGAGTTGCGTCTCCTCTGTCTAATGCACGTTTCTTTTGTTGATTGTTTTCATTGTGGCGCCAATGCAGCAACATACAGTACAGTCAAAATACCATAGAAAAACAAACTTACCTCGACGCGAAACACCGCGCAGCCCTTCAGAAACTCCGTGATGTTGCTCAAGCACTCGCTGTCGTTCTTGGGATCTTGAAAGATCTGAGGAAAACGGAAAGAGTGGTGGCAAAGTGTGAACGCTTTGAGAGTGAAGGATTGGCTCAGGTAGCTATCCGGCACGAGAATCCACGGGCTAACTGAGTCTGACTGACTACAACTACATCGCGAGTTAGCACCGTGGAGGCTTGGACAGCAGGAGAAGGAAGTGACGTTTTCAGATGGACACCGAACGAACACAATGGGACAAACGGGACGTGAACAACACACCCCTGTCTCCTACTTTGGCGGGGGAAATCAAAACCGATCCGTCGTTCAGATCAGGTATTTTGAGAGGTAAAAGAGGATAATGTAAATCAAAACATTCTTACAACAGTTAAAACATCACATTTTTGGTTGGGTTCGGGGCGGGTGGTTGATTCAAAATCAACGAAACCTCAGAAATTCAGAATTAATGTCAGTCATGGGATGTGTAGTACAGCAGCAAGAAAGCATGTTGTCAAGTGTTGTGAGCAACTCACTAGACCAGCATAAGTTGCAAAAGGGATACACGTGGTGGATTGCCACTGAAATGTGTCTGGACTGGGGTCAAACCAGATGGAATGAAGTCAATATGTTCTGTAATTGTAAAAATGGTTGAATAAAATACTCGAAGGACCATTTTTGCACTGACTGGTTGTCACCATGTTGTTGAGACCTTCTTGACAATAGGTACCCTTTTGAAAATAGCTTGAATGTGTTACCTCAAAACATTTCTCCTGGTGTTACTGTTTTTCGAGTTCTTTCGAGGAACTGCAGTTGGCTCCATTTTGTAAGTTCCCTGGAGACCTTATGCCCAGAGGTTCTCCAGAGGGTTCCACCAGTGTGGCAATCTGTTTCTTTTCATTTGTACAGTGCAAATTTATCAGATTGGGCCACAGGGAGTGGACGCAATCCTTGTTAATATTTTTCATGGAAAGCGTCTGCCAACCCACCCATTATTTATGTGAAATAATAATGATATGAATAGCCTACAGAAGAATGCAGTGCAATATCTTTAGTTTAAGCCTGTAGTGTCTAAACCCTCTTTTAGGGCCCTTTCTTTGTGTTTTATTTTGTTTCCCTAAATCGATTAGCATGCAAATAACAAATTTATTTCTTTATAACAAATTGTAGTTTTATTTAACAATTACATGTGAATTTACAGTTAGACTTACTAACCCTCGTACCTTCAAAACACAAATTAAGATATATTTTTTTAAACCAAAGAATTCTTAAGACACGGTGCGTAGTGTGTAATTCAACTTAAAAGGTAAAACTAATATATTATATAGACTCATTACATTCAAAGTGAAATATTTCAATTGATGATGATGATGATGATTATGGCTTACAGCTATATGAAAACCTTTTCACAATATTCTAATTTTGAATTTGGGGATTTCATTAGCTGTAAGCCTTAATCATCAAAAATAACAAATAAAGGCTTATCTCACTATGCACGTAATGAGTCTATTTAATTTATTAGTTTCACCTTTTAAGTTGAATTACTGAAATACATGAACTTGCACAATATTCAAATTTTTCGAGTTTCACCTGTACATATTGCATTGTAAATACACAGTTGATTTGATAACTCGCATAATAATATAAACAAACATTTTTTGTTAATAGACAACTTTTTCTGGATGTCTATTTTAATTTCCCTACAGCAAACATTCAGGCATCTCCAGAAGGAATGCATGTTGCCACTGTTTAAAATTAAAAAGTTGTATTTCTTATAATATAATTCCATAAAATTCATTGTGGACATTACAAATGTCATAGATTATATAGCCACTAAGCACACATTAAATTATAGGCCTATCTATTTAGATCAGTGTCTCTTATTAGACTCTTATTACTTTTTTTTTTTTTTTTTTTTTTTTTTTTTTTTTTTTTTTTTTGCTACAGTCACAAACAAATACTAAATACACATCTGTGGATCTTCCTCAACTGTCATAAGTTTTGGTTTATCTTGCTCTGACCAATGTTACTTATACTGACACCTACCGGCGTGCATACAGCAGCATGCAAAAATAAAGGTTTACAGTAATGGATGTGACTGTTAATGCGGTATTCGTAGTGACCCATGATATATTTATTCTGTGTTTTTTCTATGGACAGTTTGCGTGATCAACAAAATACCATACTACTGGTATATTACATAAAATTCAGCACCATGTATGTGCCACTAAAATACAGGTGTGCCACAAACTGACTACATTTTTTAAAACATTTCTGATTTGTAAATATGTTTAGTTTATTTATTTATATACAGTATATATACAGTATATATACAATATATATATATATATATATAATTTGGATATTTATTTAAGATTTTGTGCCACAATTATGACAGTATAACTCCTCAACTCATCTGTCAGTCACTGGAGGTGCCACAACATTTGGCGACATGTTCCACAACATTGGAAGTAGAAGTTATAGTGAAAAAAAAAAAAAAAACATACATTTACCAGTACCCTCCCATCAGGACAGAAGTGGTTGAAAGTGGACAAAAGAGACGGATTATGTAACCAGGTATGTGTCCCTCATATACTTGTGAACCGATCGACCAAAACACATTTTAATGCCAGGTTAAAACACATCTTAATACCAGGGCCTTAGACGGCAAAGAGCAACAGTAAGAGTTTTAAGTTATTGTTAAGGCAACTGTCTAGATTGCAAGTTGATTTACTGAAAGATGTTCACAATCAGCAAATCAAATTGCAATGTCAATAAATCTTTCCTTCTTTGCAGTGTCATCCTATTAAGAGCTGCAAAGGATACCTAAGACGGTAATGGATACTTTTAAATCAGGGAGCCTAACAGCTGAAGCAAGGATATATTTATGTGTTGTAGTGAATTGTATAGATAATTTATGTTTGAATACCTTCAAGTGTTCTTTAAAAAGGTTTATGTTCTTTAGAGCTACAAAATGGAGTAACAAATCTAGAAATGGCAGTAACTGCATGATCATTGCAGTCCAAGTCTGAGACAAATCTGCCCTGAAAGAGTTAAACAGTCTTGTTCTCATTATTGCTCAGAGGATTGACCAGAAGAACCAAGTGTCTAAGATAATTTTGTTCAATTATTGATCAGTTTTATATTTTGATAGTCGCAAATACTGTGATAGATATTTGGATCATTATGTACTGATGATAATAAAGGCAGTGACATGAATAACACAAGTAATATAAATATATGTAACCCCTCAGAGTGAGAGAGGAGTGAGGTTTACTCGCATAGAGATTACTAGCTGGAAAGTCCCTACAGAAACATGATAATGTTGCCTGCACACTAGAGAAGAGTCAAGTGCACTAATATTTATTTTTCCACTTTAAATATACAAACTTTAGATTTTATTTTATTCCCTCTTGCCAGGAAATACACCTGCTATAAACATCCTATTATGCTCACAGTCAGAGTGTAAAATTTGGTAAGCAAACCAGATGGAGCTTCAAAAGAGGTTATTGCTGCTGTCATAGTCATTGTCAGAGAGCTGACCCTGAATATGACTGATTTCTTAAAACGCACCCCCCTCTGTATATTACAAACCAAGAAGGACAGAGTCCATGCATTATTTATGGATAAGATGAACTGCTTTAGAAAACAAGATGAATATAATTATAGGCTACTTGAGTCCTTATGTCCTGACTACCTAAGATTAATTATAAAAAAAAAGAATACATTTGAAATCTGTACCTTCTGAGAGGCCTTACAGGCATATTAAATCACTATATTTGCATTTGCCCCCATTTTATTTGGTGGAATATTTTGTTTTTACTCTCTGATACTATGAACTGTTTTTAATTAATTGTGTGATTTAATGTCATTGCATTCTTTTTACTTTTGTGCACTTTATTTGAGATAAGAAAAAAAAAACGTGTGTTGAACTATAGTTGAATGAATGTCATTTGGTGTGGTTTTCTGAATTGCATTGCATTGGAAAGAAGCAGACGCTTATGTGAATTAAAAAAAAAAAAAAAAAAAAAACACTGCTTCTTCAAATATAACCTACTACTCTATGTCAATTAACTGTCAATGGCGGCCAATTTCCCGTATAAGCAATATAAACAGGGATTCATAGCTAGCCTTGATAACACTAGATTAATGCTATTCACAGCCATATAATGCGATTTGCACGCGCTTATCCTCAGATTTCCATTACAGACTGTGCTCTTACACACAGTCGGTTAATGTTTTACTGATTTCCAGTGAAATATGACAGTCAAAGGCAAACGTTTAGTTTAGTATAAATCTCACAATAAAATCGACGACTGACAATGTTGTTGCCCGGAGCAACAGCAGCACTAGCGCCCTGAACGCCACAACCGACCTGCTGCATGGGATGCGTTTACATTCATATATTACATTCATAAATCTGTTTTGACTTACAAAATATACACTATATTGGCCACTTGTGCGATAACACATATCCACGCGTGTGTAGAGTGAAGATTACAGGTAAAATGAACACTGAAACACGGTGCGCCAAAGGGAGGATGCGCGCTTACTTTATCAGTAGTGCCTGGACGTAGCCGCTCCAGCAGCCTACACAGGACAACCCCATCCTTTAGCGAAGACTGCAGAAATCCATCGGGGTCCGAAATGGTCTTTTTTGGTGATTCCAAAACCCCGAGCGTAATGAGCCAAGTAACCGTTTGTTCCGCTGGATTCATGGCCACACCAGCAAGGTCGATGCTCTTAGAAATATGATTGTAATTGGGGGGGGGGGGGGATAGGCTGTCTATTACCAACCAGTCGTTGAACTGGGAACCATTTTCTCTAAAACGTTTTATTTGTGAGATGGCGCATTATATGGCGCTCCATGGAGATGAGTGCTATCGCTTCGCTCCCATTTCCTTTACGACAAGCTGTCAAACGCCTTTCACTGGAATACAGTCAGCGCACAAAAACCTGCATCTTCCGGCAGATGACATCACAGCACAGACAGCTGTTTGTGACCAGTCTGCTTCGGATCCTGCTTTGCATGTGGACTGCATTCATCTGCTCTTTGCATGACAAATGTGTCATAATAACAGAGAGATCCTGAGTGCATTTGTTAGGAGACCTATAATGAGAGATTAGAGAGAGAGGCCGTTTCAATGAAAGGATATTGTAAAATAGTCCACGGTGTGAGGGTAAAAGCATGAGCACTAGCAGCCTATGTACATATGTATTATTATTATTTTATTATTATTATTATTTATTTATTTTGAGATGTTAAAAATGCAATATGCTGCCCCGTTATTAGACAGGTTATATGTTGTCTGTTGTTAATGTTTTTTTTCAGACTAGTGCATTTCTTATGTGATCCGCAGGGTGGCGTCCTTTGAACATTTGAAACTGGTTTCTTTGGTCTGCTGAAACACATCAAAACCAGCCTAAAACGGTTTTAAGATCTCAGCTGGTTTAGACCTAGCTGTTCTCCCAGCCTAACCAGTTGAAAAGTGCCCAAAACTATTTAAACAGCAACAGACAGTGCCTGTTCGGTCTGGGAGACCAGTTTTTTTTTTTTTTTTTTTTTTTTTTTTTTCAAATTCAAGGCGGGAGGTTAGAAATTTGTTTCTTATTATTGTCAGTTATCTCTTTATTACTTTCAGAATAATGTTTCGGGTCTTATGCTTAGAGGATGCATTTATTTGATTAAGGCTACAGTTAAAACAGTATTGAGAAATAGTATTGCAATATAAAATAACTTTTTTATTTTAACACACATATTTGTTTAAAATCCTTTAATGGCAAGGCTGAATTTTCAGCACCATTTCTCCAGTTTTCAATGTCACATGATTCGTATGAAATTTTTATATGCTGATTTGCTGCTCATGAAACATGTCCTAATATTATCAATGTTGAAACAGTTGTGCTGCTTAATACTTTTGTAAAAACCATGATACATGGCTTTCATCATTCTCAAATGAATATTCATCAGAACTGAATTTGTTTAAAATTCTTTATGTGTCTTTAAGACTCTCAGAAAAAAAAGGTATAAATCTATCACTGGGGCAGTAAAAGGTACAAAAGATATAACACACTAATATGTACACCTAAAGCACTATATGTATACTTAAGGGAGTATGTAGTTTTGAAGAACTACCATTATTTATAATTTAGGGGTAAATAAGGTACAAATATGTAGGCCTACTTTTTCACTTTTTACAGTACTGCAATGATGGCTTTGTACCTTACTTTTAATCAATTTACAAACTTTAATCAATGCATAAATGCATTCAAATTTATGCATGAATTAAAATATTATTTCCTTAAATACAAAAGTAGTGTAGCTTACTGTATATATTTCCGTGACCTTTTCTCCTCTACTAAACACTGTGAAAGCTTCCCACCCTAAGGCCATCCTCCTGTTGCAGAACATAGACTTTGCACAACTGCAATATTGCAATTAACAGCACCACGAGAACTGAAATATGGCACATACTGCACATCTCATCATATTCAGAAAAATATTTGCACTGCAACACACTTCCATACTTAATTTATAAGACAAAAAAAATATCAAGTACATATATATTTATGAATTATTCCTAATTCATTTTTTTATTTTCTAACTCTCAATATTTATTTCTCTCTTCTGTATGCAATTTGAGCTAAGCGTCAAGGGAGTTTCATTGTAGCTAGTGTAACTCACCACCCTGTGTGAATGACAATAAAGAGCTTGAGGCTCAGTGCATCTATCAGATGCAACCTTTAGTTCCAAATTATTAACAAGCTTAATGCGTAATAGTAAACTGGCATAGTAATATCAGAATGTGACTGGAACTTAAACATCACATCTCTGCAAACAGTTCACTAGTTATACTGGATTGACAGCATAAACCATCACTTTTCCTTTCCAGTTTACCACTCACTCCTGCTCCCTCCTGAATCATCTGGCGAGCTACTTTGAGGAATCTGAGTTCCCAGTGGGTCACCATGGATACCGGCAGAGGTTTAGTGCTAATCTCTAGAGTCGAAGGAGAAGAGAAGAAACCCCTCTGTGGCTGGGAGGCCAAAACATCATCGTCTTGCCTGCCATGGGACTATCCACAATCCCCCAGACCCACCATCTCAAGTAGCAGTAACCAAGGATGCCCCAGCTATAATTTCCTCCCAGAGCACGCTCTAGGTGGACCCTCTCCCCTTTTTAATTTCTATAAACATTTTGATTCAATTTTACATTGAAGTAATTACCCACTCTGGTTGTCTTGTCCATTTTATTTTTCTTTGCCTATTTAAAGTAAAAATAAAATCAGTGTGTGTGTTTGTAAAATACCTTAATGTCACTATCTTACACCATCTGCGCTAATTGCCTAATAAGCTAATGAGAGCAGTCTATATGTTATTACCCATCTCAATGGTACGTTTACATGGTTGAGTATAAAAGACAAAGAGAAGGCTGTGATTTGTTTATTGCTACAATTTAACATAACATGTCTCACTCAACTGCTCTCTTTTGTGTAGGAGCGATAATAGCAAACTCAAAAAATATTCTTAGACACATTGATACTTTAAACTCTCAAACACAAGCATGTCCTTTTGGCATTTGTTTCTGAAGTGCTTTAGATAAAAAAAGGCTTCACTGATTCATTTTAGTTCAATTCCGCATGTAATGTGTGTTGTCTTACGAGAGGTTCTCTCGTATTGCGTAAACTAGCTTACGCTACGGGAAAGATTCATCTTTTCTGAGAAGTTGAAGCCAAAAAATGAATCAATAAGTTGTATCCATTGTCACGGCAGTTCCACTGCAGCAGACCATGAGCGGGCTAGCTAGCAGCTCATTGGTTCGCTCAGGGAGAAGTGCTACAGCCTATGGGAGAACTCGACTGAACTCGCGGCGAATGAGGAGCCGAACGCTCAAAAGCCCGCCAATATGGGTGTGGTTTGAGAGTATAAATTTACCAGATCTCCCGCTGTGTAATGTAAATGATCTATCATCCTTCAGCTATTTATATGCATCCACTGACTGAAAAGTAGCCGGCTCCGCCGAGAAGGCGCCTCAAGTGAGCATGTGGAGTCTGAGAAAACCGGCCGTCTTCGCTACCTTCAGCCGTCCTTCAAGCTTGCGCCATCGGACGATAGTATCCTTCTCTAATGATTTCCGCGTGATCACCCTATGCGTGTCTGAGAGGTATATGTGACTGACTCTCGCCGACATGGGAGATTCTGAACGCGTTGTTTGTTTTCCTCAACGCCATTTTCACCAACCGGCGGCTGCCGTAATTCCGAAGTTCAGAAAGCCACCCAGTCCATGAATCTGTTTCTGCCCCGCCCCGCTAACCCTACGGCAGGGCGTTACCGAGACCAGCGTTCTGCACGAGTCCCACCCTAGCGCCCTTCTCAGCATGCTCAGGCTTCTCAGCCCAGACAGAGCGGCCGCCTTCGCTCTAACAGGCACCCGCCTCCCCCCGGGCCTCGACCCAAGATCGCGCTGAAGCCCAAACAGCCGAAGTCTGCCTAGCACAGCTGAGAAAACGACGGCTCTCTCCCACCTCGGCCGGACCGCCGTCAAAACTTAGCCCTCTGTCAGTCCCCGTTCGTCTGGCTACTGCAGCAGTGTTCGCCGCCACAAACAAGCCGATCTCTGCTCGCTTGCGAGCGCCAAAATGTCGTTTTTACGGCGACTCAGAAATCTCAAAAAGAGCATAAAAGCCTCTTGTGTATAGAATGTGCCCACAATCCTGTGTTCATCCGTACACACAAGCACCACATGTCCCGTGTATTTCTCACAGCCCGCTCTAATGTCAAGAGTGCATAAGCGCGCGCACGAGCCTGTGTGCGCATCCCTTCTCTGCCCAAACAAAAGCGTGCCCACACACTTGTTCAGCCCGCTATGTGCAGCAATCAGGGCGATATAGCCATTCTCCCGCTAGCGTTGCGCTCCGAAGCGTGGGAAGCCATTCCGGCTATCTCCCCGTGGGTGTTAAGCACAATAAAGTACGGCTATCTGTTACAGTTCCGTCGCCGGCCTCCACGCTTCCGTGCGCGGCTCGAAACTAGTCAGTTCAGAAGCAGCAATGGGTAATCGTTGATCACCCATGCATGCAACGCCCAGCGCGGTGGGTAGGGATGCCAGATCGTGCCGCGAGCTTGAGAGAGGAGATCTGCTCTTACTGAAATGGGCCCCGGGGCTGTCTGTGAAAGCTGAGTGAGCTCCGGGAACCAAGTCTGACTCTCCCAACGCGGGGCTATGAGGAGCACCGAGTGGCGTGTGTTCCTGATCCTCTGTATTACCTGTGGTAACAGTGAGACCGGAGGGAATGCATAAAGCGGGTGGCTGGGCCAATCCTGGGCTAGAGTACGGAGCCCGGGAAGTCACCTGTGGGGAAACAATCCGAGGCGACGGTTTTGCAATCCGTCCCCTCAGTTTATAAACTGTGCTCACGGATTCTTAAACTGTTCCCTCGGTTTAACAATTCGTGCCCTGGGATTAATAAACCGTACCCACGAGTTCCTAATCCGTGCTCTCAGATTGTTAAACCGGGCCCTCAGTTTTTGCAATCTGTACCCACAAATTCATAAACCGTGCCCACGCTTTCGCAATCCGTACTCACTGATTTGTGGCTCGTCCCCGAGAGTGTGCCGCATGATTCAACCCTCCTGTTTAGATGCGGGATGCATTGTTTTTAAAAGGACTTAACAAAAAAATAAATATAACACAAACACAACGTTATAGGCCTATAAAATAAAACATTCATAAATTGTTTTATGTTTAACATAGGCCTGTTCCTGTCTTAAGATAACTCATTTAAAGTTATAAACGCAAATAGCCTAATACTAATATTTAGGCTATTATTATTATATTTAGGTTACATATTTAGATATACGACGCTTTAATCAAAAAAAGAAACAAAGCAATTCGTCAAATGTCAGTCATAATACAGGTTAGACAATAAGTTGGATTATCACAAATAAACACAAGATTTTGACGCATATCCAAGTGTTTGTGCACATAAAAAATAACATTGACTTTTTGCCTTTATTAAACATTTAAAATATTCTCAAATTAATATGGGAAGAAAACAGATTTTACTTTCTAAAAACTATATTTTGCCCGCTGTGCTAAATGAGAAGAGCATGTCTCGGGAACCATAGAGAGACTTCACACAAACAGTTGGATAGGCTATGCGTTAAAAACCTGTGTTCGTTTGTTATAAACTTAGCCCATTATTTTTGTTTAAGACTGACATTTGACGAATTGCTTTGTTCTTTTTTGTGGATAAAAGCGTCTTCTAAATAGGCCTATGTAGCCTAAATGGATTTTGATAGCTAATTATTATTTGCGTTTATTACTGTGAATGAGTTCACCGAAGACAGTAATATATGTTTAACATAAAATAATTTATAACTTACAAACAAATCTTTTACAGATGTGATAGCAATCCATCTCCATATTCATCTGGTTGCTTCTTCATGTTTAGGTGAGCGTGATTTGAACTCGAATAACATACCAAAGTCCAGAAACTTCTTTTCGGTCAAGTTTAATAACAAAATTAACTGGAAAATGTTACACGGTCAAAAAACTTTGTCGCTCCAACATTGCTTCACAAGAAAAACTAACCGTCACTTCCGGAAATGACATAATCGTTAATACAAAAAATATTATATTACACATATCAAATTATTTACTCCTAACTGTTTATTGATTGCTTAATGCATACAATATTTATTCCACATCTATATAAAGAAAAGTGACTTGGGTCTAACAACAGATTTTGAACTGTGTGTTTTATTATTAGCCTATAGATTTTATTTTATTTTTTTTGCTTATTATACTGAGCTTTTTCCTCTAAAATGGACTTTAAAGATAAAAAGTGGCCTATATGTAGTTGTAGTTGTTGTTGTTGTTTTTTTAGAAAATGCAAGAAATTATCTATTTGTAAAAAAGGATTTTAAAAATAATGCAATGCATCCCGCATCTAAACAGGAGGGTTGAATCATGCGGCACACTCTCGGGGACAAGCCACAAATCAGTGAGTACGGATTGCGAAAGCGTGGGCACGGTTTATGAATTTTTGGGTACAGATTGCAAAAACTGAAGGCCCGGTTTAACAATCTGAGAGCACGGATTAGGAACTCGTGGGTACGGTTTATTTAATCCCTGGGCACGAATTGTTAAACCGAGGGAACAGTTTAAGAATCCGTGAGTACAGTTTATAAACTGAGAGGACGGATTGCAAAACCGTCGCCTCGGATTGTTTCCCCCACAGGTGACTTTCCGGGCTCCCCTCTAGCCCAGGATTGGCCCAGCCACCCGCTTTATGCATTCCCTCCGGTCTCACTGTTACCACAGGTAATACAGAGGATCAGGGACACACGCCACTCGGTGCTCCTCATAGAGCAGATCTCCTCTCTCAAGCTCGCGGCACGATCTGGCATCCCTACCCACCGCGCTGGGCGTTGCATGCATGGGTGATCAACGATTACCCGTTGCTGCTTCTGAACTGACTGTAGTTTCGAGCCGCACACGGAAGCGTGGAGACTGGCGACGGAACTGTAACAGATAGCCGTACTTTATTGTGCTTAACACCCACGGGGAGATAGCCGGAATGGCTTCCCACGCTTCGAAGCGCAACGCTAGCGGGAGAATGGCTATATCGCCCTGATTGCTGCACATAGCGGGCTGAACAAGTGTGTGGGCACGCTTTTGTTTGGGCAGAGAGGGGATGCGCACACAGGCTCGTGCGCGCGCTTATGCACTCTGACATTAGAGCGGGCTGTGAACGCTTTATGGGGGTGGGCTGTGAGAAATACACGGGACATGTGCTGCTTGTGTGTACGGGTGAACACAGGAATGTGGGCACATTCTATACACAAGAGGCTTTTATGCTCCTTTTGAGATTTCTCTGAGTCGCCGTAAAAACGACATTTTGGCGCTCGCAAGCGATTAGAGACCGGCTTGTTTGTGGCGGCAAACACTGCTGCAGTAGCCAGACGAACGGGGACTGACAGAGGGCTAAGTTTTGACGGCGGTCCGGCCGAGGTGGGAGAGAGCCGTCGTTTTCTCAGCTGTGCTAGGCAGACTTCGGCTGTTTGGGCTTCAGCGCGAAGCCGATCTTGGGTTGAGGCCCGGGGGGAGGCGGGTGCCTGTGGCGGCTGTCAGAGCGAGGGCGACCGCTATGTTTGAGCGTAGAAGGCTGAAGGCCAATTTATACTTCTGCGTCGAGGGTACGCCGTAGTGTACGGCGTTGGCTACGCACGTAGGCGACGCCGTTGTGAGCATTTATACTTCTGCGTTCAGGTCTTGGTTGCTCTGCAGTACTGCTCCGAAACGCTAGTTGGCGGCGGAGAGTTTTAATGTTCCACTGTGTTTAGATTCCTCGCGGCTAGGTTACTACGAGTGAAAGAGAGCTGATCATGTTGGAATTGGAGCTTATTAAGGTGGAAAAACAGTTCACTTTAGTGAAATTACTAAAACTGAAAGGCAGAAATGAGAGAAGACTTCGGAGGAGATGAAACTTGTGGAAATCATAGACAGTGGTGGAAATGCGTGAGAAGGTACGTGCGGAAATGCGTAGGAGGAAATGCGATGCTACCAAGCCAACCAATCACCGATCTTGCGGTCCGCGTCGTCGCGACGTGTAGTTACATTTTTGAGGAGGTGCGCGTCAGGCGACGGCGAAGGGTACGCGGTATGGGACGCGTCTGTGCGTATGCTACGCCGTACCTACTGCGCGCACCCTACGCAGAAGTATAAATTGGCCTTGAGCCTGCTGAGAAGGGCGCTAGGGTGGGACTCGTGCAGGAGGCTGGTCTCGGGAACGCCCTGCAGAAGAGTTAGCGGGGCAGGGCAGAAACAGATTCATGGACTGGGTGGCTTTCTGAACTGCGGAGAACCGATCGACGATGCCCGTGACGGCAGATTCTAAGAGGCCGGTTGGAGGAAGCATCAGAATATCCCATGTCGGCGAGGGTGAGTCACATATATCTCTCAGACACGCAAAGGGCAACCATGCAGCAAGCAATAGAGAAGTATCCTGTCATCCGATGGCGCAAGCTTGAAGGACGGCTGAAGGTGGTGTAGAAGATGGCCGGCGTCCTCAGACTCCAAATGCTCGCTGAACATACCTTCTCGGCGGAGCTGACTATTTTTCACTCTGTGGATGCATTAATTGTAGCTCGCTGATGGATTATAAATTAACTAGACAGTGGGAGATCTGGCTAATTTATACTCTCGAGCCACGCCCATTTTGGCGGGCTTTTGAGCGTTCGGCTCCTCATTCGCCGCGAGTTAAGCCGAGTTCTCCCATAGGCTGTAGCACTTCACCCTGAGCGAACCAATGAGCTGCTAGCTAGCCCGCTCATGGTCTGCTGTAGTGGAACTGCCTTGACAATGGATACAAATTATTGAATTTTTTGGCTTCAACTTATCAGAAAAAAATGAATCTTTCCCGAAGCAGCTAGCTTACGCAATACTCGTTCCCATATCTAGAGATAACCGAGGTTACGTTAGGTAACCGATTCGATTTGTGTTTTTAATACTGCATGCTAATACTCTACACTTCCACTCTCTCACACACCGCTTACTTTTTCTCAGTTTAAATCTATTTTTGATTATTTTCTTCCTCCAGGTCTCTCTCTCTCTTCATGAGAGTGATGACTGAGAGGTCAGAGCTATCTTTATCTCATACAGCCAATATAAACAATATATTAAGGCAGAAATCACCACCTAACAGCCCATGGCATTGCGGCGGTGATTTTTGACAAGCACCAGTCATATTTTGTATCCTTTTTTTAAATTATAGCAGCCAAATTTTTTTAGATGTCTGACAAAAAAAACCCTGAATACAACCTTTTTTGGAATACAACAAATAAGATGCCTATAAGGTGTAAGGGTGATTCTTAGTCCCCTGTTTCACATAAGTGTGTCTACCTAAGCATCACCATAAATTGTATGCTTAATGTATTCATATTCTTTTCGGTGGTGGTGGTGGGGGGGGGGGGGGGGGTTAGATGTACAACTCTGGGAGTGTGCATGGTGAGATAGATAGATAGATAGATAGATAGATAGATAGATAGATAGATAGATAGATAGATAGATAGATAGATAGAAAATATTTTTGCTTGGTTTATTTGTACTCCCAGGGGAATTTTATGCTTCAGCTTCTCGGTGACTGTTTCCCTCCTCCCTTCTTGCTTATGCAGGAGTGTCTGAACGAGCATCTTCCTTCGTTGATCGCCGTCATAGGGCTCTGACGCGATGTTTAGGTGAGAACGCCGAGAACAACGTCTGTACATCAGCCTCCGCCCTTCGCGTGCTTCCACACAACCGACCGTGCCTCTGATGCGTGACCTGTTGACGATCGTGCGGTGCGCAGTGCTGCGCTTCTGGAGCTACCAAAATGCACAATTAAACAATCGACCTCAACATGCCTACCACTTATGGAAGTAAGGGAAAACTTGCAGGTGTTTGTTTCATGCTTCAGCACGCATCACAGGTTTGTTTCAAATTAAACTATGCTTTTAGTTATTTTGTTTTCAGGTAGAAAAACAAAAACATGACTAGCCAATTTAATGAAGAAATTTTGGTAGAATTTTTGATTTATATTGAATGCGGTTTATATTACTATTATTATCATTATTATTAGTATTTAATCTGTAGAAAACATGATATAGTCTCGCGAAACCTTTTTTTCCTTCGCCAAACGTCAACTAACTTTAAACTTTTATAACAAAACAAAGCCCTTGTTGTGTTGTATATGTTATATGTGAATATAGCCTAGGTAACGTTAAGTGGTGTGAATAATGGCTGTGTTTATGTCTGTCAATGTTTCGCCCGATGCTCCTCAGGAGTAGCCGCGTACTGTTACTATGGTTACCTCCTCAGATGGACACGATTTTTCATCGCGAGCTTCTTTTTAACGTTTGGTAAAAAAAAAAAAAAAAAGGCGACCTGTTTAACTTTTGTGGTCGTACAGGCTAAATGTTTTATATTTAAGTTAGGTGTAGTGCTTAATAAGGAACAATGAAAAAAACATTTGAAGAATCTTGCGCTGTCATGTCTCTAGCCTGAAATTACACAGACATAACTTCTGAGATGTGATGCTCTATGGTTTTGTCAGTTGAACTGTTTTCCGGTGTGAATACCTTTGAGCGCATCTTGGTGTTTTCGGTTTTGCTGTGTGGGGAGCTCCGCGTTGATTAGGTGGTACAAAACATTCAAATTCAAAATTTAAAAAACTACTTCCTCTTCTGTCACGAGTCTGGAGAGCTTCACTCTGCCTATCAAGGCAATCATCACCTGCCTCTCCTCTTGTTACATCATGTTTATCTCTTCGCCTTATATCTCAGTTTGGACTTCTCCACAGAGACCCGGTGGCATCGAGGGGATTTTGCCTTCTGTCTGACTAGAAATTGTACTAATATTTAGGCTATTGACGGAGATGTGAGAATAGTAACGTTAGTTAAAAAACAAACATCCTGGGAGAAGAGAGTCGAAGATCAGTCTGAGCAGAGGGCGCAAAGAAGACCAGTAGCATACTAAGTGAGTAAGGTTAAATACACTGTTAAGCTGCTGAACTTTGGGAATGTCTCTCTCTTACGCAGGCACACTCATTCACTGCTGCACTTATCATTATGCAAACACACGGGCTTCACAGATGACTCATTCACAGTCATTCTGAGAGTAATGAAACAGGTGCCGTGGAGAAGGCTTATAATAAAGCAAAAAGTAAGGGATCATCAAAATATACATAACAATTTCCTACAGCTGTGTGTGACTCAGCCCCTACACTGAGAGCTTTTGAGGACACTTCAGTTCAGACAAGTGCATGTGCGCAGCAGGCAACCGCAATGGCAATTGCCTGCAGATATGCAGATGTCAGCTGTGCAGCATTTATTCAGCAGCAATTTATGAGTAATAATTAATCACAAATTAATTATTAATTTGCGGGGGGGGGGGGGGGTTGTCCAACGTTCTAAGGTGTGCAATTATCCTCAGGGAAACACATGGCTAAAGTAGTTCCAGGCAAGTCTTGACCACAGCTTCCATATCATTTCGCCAAATGATTTCAGTTATTTCAAAGGTTTTTACTGCCTATAACAGCAAAAGAGCCAAACCTACAATAACACTGACCAAGCAAATACATATAGTAACCAATAGGATAGAAATAACTCTGTAGGAATAATTATTTCTATGTTTTGTGCCTGAAAATTGGACTTTGGACAGCTCGTAGGCTACTCTATCCTGCTCTTAAACTCGCGCACATACAGTGTGGATACAAACTTGCACAGAAACGTGTTGTCAGCGCTGCTCTAATGATTTTATTTGTAAAATAGTTTTACAACATAAAAGCTACATGGCATTTCTCACTAGCAATGTTATAACGGCTCTGTTGTTGCAGCTGATAAACTTACAGTTGCGTTATTAGTAGAGACGCTGCTGCTGAACACTGTTGAGAGACACACAGACTCGGGTAATTCATCCATGCTTGATTCTCTCTCTCTCTCTCTCTCTCTCTCTCTCTCTCTCTCTTTCTCTCTATAACTGCATTAATAACGGCATTAGACTGCTATCAGTGGCTCGAGTCTCCTCTAAAATTACGTTTTAGAATTAGCAACGGAGGTTTGGGATCATATAAATCCTACACCCAAGAACATTTTAAGGACAAAGACCTGACAAATGTCTTGAAATAAAACATCTGAACATTTTTTTAGGTGTGGTAACCATAATTAACTAAAATAATGCACACCCGAGGTGTAACATTAGATGTACATTAGCATGGGAACTTCATATGGTGATCTAAAAAAGGTTGGTGGCATCTTGGTAAGCATTAAAGTTGAGTGTAATTCAGCTGAATTGTCTGTCTACAAAAATATTTGCAGTTTATCTCTTGTTTGGCATACTAAATGACACCGCTTGATCATTTACTGAATTAGTAAGAGTATTATTGCATTACTATAATTTTTAGGTTCAAGTAATTTAGGTACTATCAAAATGAACAATAATAATGCATCTGTGTTATTTTGTTGTTTTTTTGGAGGGAAAATACTTGTGCAGATTGTACAGATTCATATCTGTGATTCAAGTCAGTTCTTCTGATTGTGATGAAAACATACAGTTATGTATATTACAATTAAATTATACTCAAGAAATCTTATGTTTCTTATATATCATGTATTTATATGTGTTTGTTTGTTAACCAGGTTTCCATTGAGAGAAAGAGTACATACACTTTGAAATCTGGGTCTGATGTAGGCTACATGCATGTTTTCTTATTGATGTCTCATGATCAATTATTAAGTCTATTGCTGTTTGTGTGTCCACTTCACCCTTTCCCTCAGTTTTTGCATGTGTTGAAATTTTGTTAAATGTAAATGAGGACTTCAGTATCAATGTTTCGATAAGCAATCGCCCTGCATTTGTGCATTGTGCTAAACTTTATGTGTGGAATTATCTCAGTAGTCAGTGTAGTGCTGCATTTCTCACGTTGTTCTGTTACCATTAGTCTCAATTCTGTGTTGGTGAACGAGCACATGATGTGCAAGTCTTCAGGACTGGTGTTGTGGTCATAGGTATTTTTAGAAAGAGCACAACAGGTGTCTTTGCAAGCATGAGTGTATGTGCTTAAGCCTGTTGTCAGTTTTGTCCTACTGTTTCAGCTGTAAAAATGTCAAATTCATAGTCTGCTGTGATTAAATATTCCACAACAGAAAATGGCCAATAACATGGGAGTTCCTGAAATAATATAAATCATGTGGTCTTAATGTGGTTGCACCCATGAGCCATCCCAGCTCCATGTAAAACCAGCTTTTATTAAGCTGCTGATTTAATCAAACTTTAATCCAATTGATTGTATTATTTTAAATATCTCTAAAAAGGGCTATTCATTTATGCGTGATATTTTAATGAAGGAAAAAATCAATGTGAAAAGGGGGTGAGTTGTTTTATTACAAATGTGCTGTACTGGTGGTTCTGGTTGTTTTAAAGCTTTTAAATAGACATGCGAAGAGAGAGAGAGAGAGCAGTTTCAGGTTCACCTGGGAAGCCTTGTTGTTGGCGGAGAGACGAGTCCTTAGTGACTGATGGTGGCGAGAGAGATCATGAAGCAGGTGAAGGAGTGGAGAGGTGGAAGAGTTGTGCTCTGGAGGGAGGAGTGTGTTTTTGAAATATTGCTACAGGCCAGGAGGAACTATTGATGTGTATAATGTATGTTTTCTAAAAATATCCTCTTGTTCAGTTGAATATTTACAATATGATGATGTTCTACAGTGAAGACCTGGTGGAGTTTATCCTAATAGTTTGAAAGTGAAATACCATTGTTGTTTCTTGTGACTTGAAATGTGCTGCACTTTACCTGTTTAAAGGAGCTTGACTGATGTTGATGTTGTCAAGTTGTGTTTTGTTTTGATGCATCACCCTTCACCGATCTACCAATCACGGACTTAGTAGTGTTGCGGCGTTCGGGTTGACAGCTCTTATTACTACAGCTGCAGATACAAACGTGTCGGAATCAGATAAAAAAAATTCTAATGTTGCGAACCCCCCAAAAAATCGATATGAATCTGAAATACTTTGTTACAAAGTCCGAAATAAATAATTAACAGAAAAAAACGAACAGTGTAGGACTCGTCACTTGCAATTGGAAGCTTCTTGTAGCAGCCTACATTCCTGCTGGAACCTGCAGCATCTGGCAACCTCGAGTCATGGGGGAAGGCGGGGATACACCCTAATATGAAAGTGATTGCAGTACCAGTTTTGGCCACAATCTTGCATACAGCTCCTTTAGCACTTGTGGATAAATGGATAGTTCACCTAAAAATCATTTACTCACCCTCAAGTTGTTTCAAACCTGCATGAGTTTCTTTCTTCTGCCAAACACAAAAGAAAATATTTTGAAAAATGTTGGAAACCAAACAGTTGATGGACCATACTATGGAAGTAAGTGGCAGTCCTCAGTCTCTGATTAATGCATTTATATGCCAATATAATTAATGCCGAAATGAATCTGCGCCAATAAGGTGGTACACAATGACTAAGGTGGTCCAAAAGCCATAGCGATTTGGAAGTAAACAGAGTAAGTGGCTAAATTTTTAAAGGGATACTCCAGTATATAAAAAAAAAAAATTCTATGGCATTCAATGGTGCCAAAGTTCCAATCAAAGATGCACCTTATAAGTAAAAAAATATAATAATCCTGAAACTTCCAACCTTCCACTTTCCAAACTTTTAAGTCATTTTGACTTCTCATCTCTCCATAGGACATGACCCAGTCCTGGCCTTACCAGCAGCCCACAGGGGAAGGGAGCAATTTGCTGTACTCACACTCAAAGGTACACACATGGTTTATTACAGACTGCAGGAAAGTGTGATCAATTCACCAAAGGCACAACCTCTGCTCTGTCTCTGTAGATGTATCTCTTTTTTTCTCCTCATTTCTTTCCCTGCAGGGTATTACACTTCCATTGTTTATTTGCACACTCATAAACTCATAAATTTGTGTTGTTTTAGCACCAGAGTCACTAGAGCAATTATGCAAATCAGCTAACAATGCTCCTAGCACAATGCAGGCCAGTTCTAGGGACTGTACAGCTTCTCTTCACCTCTACAACCCAGAGTCGACTTGTTTATAATGCCAAAAGTACACCTGAACATAACAACACCTGGTTAAACTGGAATTCGAATATTGAATAAGGTACAGGGTTTGGCGAATGTTTCTTAGAGTTTAGTAACTGTTCAGTGAATTCACCCCTCTGTTTCTTGACAAGATGCTAGATTTGTAGGCTATGTGTTGATTTGACTAATTAATTTTTTTTTCTGTTTATCTGTCTCAGGAGGGAAAACTGCCCAGTTCACGACACAGACATGGTAAACATGCTACATTGATGTGCAAAATGCTCTATTTTAGATATGTCTTTTTTATTGATATTAGGGATGCACCGATATTATTATTGGATTTATACCGATAAGCTTTTTTCATGTTAACAGCTAAACGATAACTGTTAATTGACTGGTAATAAAATGATTTATTATTTTGTGTAAACAAAAAATACTAAAAACTAAATTCAATCATTTTGAATGCTAAAAGTGAATTTACAACACAATATCACAACACAATAAAAATGGATGTTTTTTGGGATTAACTAAAGATTACATTTTAACAATGGTAAATTATTAGTGTTTTGAAGATTAACTTTTTATGAGACGACGTAAAAATAGGGGAAATGTACACTGCCATTTAAATGTTTGGGATTGGTAGGATTTTTTATGTTTTTAAAATCATTTTGAAAGAAGTCTCTTATGCTCATCAAGCTACATTTGTTTGATGAAGAAAAAACAGTAATATTGGGAAATATTACAATTTAAAATGACCCGTTTCTATTGTAATACATTTTAAAATGTAATCTATTCCTGTGATGGCAAAGCTGAATTTTCAGCATCATTACTCCAGTCTTCAGTGTCACATGATCCTTCAGAAATCAATCTAATATGATGATTTGCTGCTCAAGAAACATTTATTATTCGTGTTGAAAACAGTTTGTTTGCAGCTTAATGTTTTAATATGATAAAAAAAAAATTCAGGATTGTTTTATGAGTATAAAGCTCAAAAGAACAGCATTTATTTTAAATACAAATTTATAATAAATACATTTATAATAAATGTGTAACTTTATAAATGTCACTTTTGATCAATTTGTGTCCTTGTTGAATGAAACTAACTTCACTTTTTGTACATTCAAAGTTAAATGTCCAATATTAACAAATATTTATGCAATATCGATTAATCAAACCGATATGGTACCAATATATTGTGCATTCCTTATGTGTATATGTGCAATAAGACATTTGCTTATCATTAACTGCTTCATACATTGTTCATACATGGTTCACAGCTACATGTACTAATATAGTAGTGTTTTTAAATTCTGCTCCATAACGCTGATGTATTTCTCTCCCTGTGGCTCTCTCAGTGAGGGATGGTGTCTCTATGAGGATGCCCTCACGTCCACTCGTGGCCCCTCATAAATCGTAAGTTCAGTGCACAGCACCCGATTTGTCCTATGGTAACCAAGCACCAGGTTGTGCCTGAACTGCTTCCTTTGAACTTTATTACATAATAAAACATTGACTTTACCAAATTCAGTGTTGAATGTCTGTACATATTAGCATGTAAAAAATGTTTTGGGCTTCCTGGAATTTAACTACTTTGGACCAACTGCTGTTTAAAACCAGTGTCATGTGGAGTGTTAGGCCAGTGTAATATCTCTGCTGTCTTTAACCACCATACCAACGTAACTGACCTCATAAACTTTACTGAGTTAGTATCTAATTACAGAGCAGGTTAACACAGTCGGAGAGAGCCCTGAAGCAAACTACCATCAATTAATATCACTGTTCAACATTAGAGTGCAGTGTTTATGACTACTTTCTTTAAAACTTGTAATGTGATACAATCTCATATGGTTAAACTGTTCAAGGCAAACTCACACATTTAGCACACACACAGATGTTCTACAGATTGGCAGAATGAATAAGTCTCTCTGTCAAGTGAGTGTGACATTCTCTCATGTTCGACTCTCCCTTTCCCGTCCCAGCATGCTCGCTGATGACCTGAAACTCAGCAGTGACGAAGATGACAAGGACGAGGTAGGGCGTCTATTAAGATTGTTCAAGGAATCGGCTTAAAAATGAGATAACATTTAGTATTCTCAGTAATTATTGCACTGCTAGTGGTAACTGTTAGCTTTGAACACAGTCTAGCTCATTTGTTCATTCATCACGAAATGCATTCACACACAGTGAGCACTGGATCAATACTAACATTGCCATTGACATCTGTGGAGTGCTCAATAAGGCAAAGTCCTCTTTTTTATTTTAAAAGTATTTGGCTAATTCTATAATAAGCTTTTATGTTTATATTAACATACTACTTATTATTATTACTATTTATTATAAAAAAATATTTCTTATTCATTTTCTTAATGATTTTGAAAAAAGTCTCATGCTTGCTTTATGGCTGCATTTGTATGATCAAAAACATATTACAATTTTAAATAACTCTTTTCTATTTTAATACATTTTAAAATGTAAAATATTCCTGTGATGGCAATGCTGAATTTTCAGCATCATTACTCCTGTCTTCAATATGACATGATCCTTCAGAAATCATTCTAATATGCTGATTTGCTGCTCAAGAAACATTTCTTATTATCAATGTTGAATGCAGTGCTACACTATATAGCTTCTCCTCCCTCACATTCACTCCAATAGGCTTTATGTCGAATGTCACATGAACAACAGGTAAACAGGTCTCATTATATATCCGAAAGTTTTAACAGCAGTATGAATGAACAGCTATATGTATGGACTTTTAAGGAAATCAGCTAAACTTGCAGTTATTTTAATGGTTGGCTCTTTATTCAATTTTAATATCCGAATGCTAGTGAGAAGAAGAAAAATAAAAGCTTTTAGATCTTTTAGACATTGGTTATGCTCATCTTTGGTAGCTCCTTTGACGACATCTTCATTAAAACAGCTTTATATTTAACTGAGCACATACAGTACAAAGGACCTGAACCGGAAGCGATGCTTACAGAAAATGGAAGTTTGTTGCGCATAACCCCCAAACAAGTTATTTTAAACAAATTATGGCCTCATGTCATGTTACACAAATTGTTAGGAAGCAACCTGCTTGCCTCCTTGAGAAAAATGCTTGACTCAGTTGACTTTTAGCCTACAACACCAGCTCCTTATGTGAGTGTATCTCATTCTCTGTCTCTACCCAGGACTACAGGTTTATGAGTCATAACAGTCTATTATGAGTCATAAGATACACCAGACTCTTGACCTTTCTGGCATTACTGCAGGACTGTGGCATTTGCTTTGGTCAAGATGCTAGTAGTGACCATGAATTTGAAGATTCCTAGCTAAAAAGCTCTCTCGTTTATTCTTAACTGTTAAACAGGGAAGTGAGCAAACAACTTCCTGGGCCGATAATGACCGGTAAGTGTGTGCTTGTGATGTTTTGTCTGCTTTATGTGTTTGTAGCTGTACCAAGTCTCATTATGTGCCCGTGTTTATCTCTGTATGTGTTAGTATGTGTGTATTACATATTGAAGAGGTCAGAATATGTGGAATGTGACAGCTGTACGATAGACCAGCCTCTGTTTCTTTTGGCCTTTCAATATGTTCAACCTCCAAATATACACACCACTTGTAGGACAAGCATTTTGGCAGGGTTTAGTCTGCATACTTTTTGGGAATTTGGAATTTCACTGAACTTGATTTTCAAGCTTGTTGTACGTAAATGCATCTGAGTGTGTGGCCTAATAAATGTGCGTGCACTTCTCAATCCCCATCCATTGTGTGCATGCATTGACTGACAGCTTGTCAGGCCAGCAGCAGCACCGCACACACACACATGTTGGAAGGGTGAGACATTCTAGCTCAGGGTCTTCAGGATCAAACCCCTCCAGTGAGTGGGAAAGCAGCAGCCAACGATCACGTAGCCCAAGCCCAGGAACGCCCGTCCGGTGCGGGACACCGACCCAACAGCGGACCCTAAACTGCAGCACAGAGGTACACTAACACATTTTTTTGGCATGCAATCTACTATTTTTCACTGCCTCACTCTCTCAGTTTTCCAGTTGTTTTTAGCAGATGAGGTAGAAAGGGATGGTGGGGGTTGGAGAGAGGAATGTGGAGGGGCGGCCACTGAGACTTTAGAATCTGGGTGTCATGTCAACATGTGGCGCCCCAGATGACTAACTAGATATGAAGTTTTACATGTCACCCTTGATTTCATCACATAAAGCAGAACTTAAAGGGATAGTTTACCCCAAAAAAAGAAAAGAAAATTCTGTCATGTCATTACTCACCCTCATGGCGTTCCGAACCTGCATGACTGTACAAAACAACAATGGACCCCACTGACTTTCATTGTGTGGGAAAACAAACAAACAAAAAACACTTTAAAAAAAAAATTCTTCTTTTCTGTTCCACAGAAGAATTAAAGTTTACAACAACATGTGGGTGAGTAATTAATGTCAGAATATTTATTTTTGTGTAAACTTTCCCTTTAAAACAGCACAAGTGAGAAAATCCTAAGCTTATAACTGCTACATTTGAAAAAAAAAAATTATGTGGTCTTAATTTTTTTAGTCAGAAAGAGGGATTAAATACTCCAGTAGCATAGGGCTACACCACCATATGAATGAAGGTGTCTGTGTGACACAGCTGGCTCTATTACTGAACATGCCATCTATTTGGAACCTGTGGAGAAGGGAGGAGGGAACACCATGTGTTTTTCATCTACGTGTAGTCATGTACTGTCTCTGAGGAGGACGGCTTGGAAACGCCACACGGTTCCAGGTAGAGGGGGTTGAGGGGAGGGGCAGTGGGAAAAGGGCACAAGAGATGCAGTGTCTTTGCTGGAAAGAGAGAGAGAGAGAGAGGGGAAGGGGGAATGTTTGAGTGGAGGAGTAAAAGTTTAAATTAACTCTGGTCAGCTACTGGAGGCAAGAAGAGAAAGCACAGTCTACCCTGGAGCTTAAGTGTGCTATATCAAGTGAGTATTTGCTTAGTTTTGTGGCATTAGTTCAAATGTTTTGTAAAGTCAATAGTTTACTCACTTTATTACTCTATAGTGGTATTCTGTTGTCATAGAGTATTTTTAATTTAAAGCAGCTTTTTTTTCTTCAGCCTTCTGCATTGTAATTAGTGTAAGTAGTGAACTGAACAGGCATTGTTATAGTGTGAATATAGGGTGAAATTGAAAGAAAGGGTTTTTTAGTGTTTAAGGAATCTCCACAATGTTTCTGCCCTCTTTCTCTTTCTCGCTGACCCTCTCACCCCCTGTTTTTCTTTTTCTCTCTCTCCCACCGACACCGGCTTGTTTAGTTTACATAAATACTCATGTTTCATATGCATTTATTCTAATCATTTCCGATTGCCTTTTTTTTTTGTCTGCTACATACATCAATTTCTCATTGTTAAAGAGGTTCTGAAATATAGTTACGTTTATACTGTTGTCAACCTCAGTGGTCAAGAGTTTGTGGTAAAGAGTGGATGCACTAATAATCATAATTTGTAATCTAGGTTATTCTACTTATATTGTCACATTGTTTGATCAGATTCATATTTAGGGTAATATTTACAATACAAAATATTTTTTGTCATGTCTTGATATTTATTTTATTTAACTCATGTCATTTCTTTGTCCTGTCCAGACAGAGAGTCCACCATCCACACAGTGGCAACTGGACAGGTGGCTTGAGAAAGTTCCTAAAAATCATCAGTCAATTGACCACGACCCAGGAGGGGGACAGCGACAGAGTGCAAAATCTGACTGTGGCCGAGGACCATCACCTGGAAGATACTGGGGTAGAGATTCTGAGTCAAATTATAGTCCTTGTGAAAGTCCGGTCCCAAGTCCAAAATTTGACTACAGCCCCAGAAACAGTCCTCGTCCCAGCCCAGAATACAGTCCATGCCCCAGTCCAGGAATTAGCCTTGTGCCAAGCCCAGTGCCAAGTGTGTGCTCAAGTCCAGGAGACAGCCTCCGAGGGAGTCGAAGTCCAAGCCCTTTATTTCCGCACCCTCCCAGATGCCCCAGTCCAAATTTCTCATCCACCACAGTACTTATCCAAGGTACATATCCTCAAGTACAATCACATCAACAGGAAAGTCCCAGGGATATTGCACATCCAACAGTTGCCTCAAATCCAACACATCGTCCCAAAGTCAGGTCATGGGTGCCTCCAGACCATAGCTCCAACCAGAGAAAGGAAATTAGACCCAAAGACTCTCAATCCACAGACTCTCAATCCAGAGACTCTCGATCCAAAGACTCTCGATCCAAAGACTCTAGACCTGGTGCTCCCCAACAACCCCATCATTCCAAACACAGCTTAACAGAAAAGTCACACAAGCCTGAATCCAAAAACTCTGAATCCACAAGCAAGCAAAGGTTTAACTCGCCTTCAAACTCAATTACAAAGCATTCATTGAAGAAAAGACCACACATTAGCCCAAAACCCAAAGCCAGGCACTCATCTACAACTGACCATAGTATTGAACATAATCACAGAAACAATGAACCTACAGGAGCATCAAACCAGAGTTCAACCTCCAAATCGGGCCATTCATCTTATTTCAATACTTTAAAGAGGTCAGACTGTGGTCCTTCATCAAAGTCCAGGGACTCGGCCCAAATCGAAGTCAACAATCAATCTAGTCACAGCTCTAAGACTAAATCTTTACCAGATACCAAGCAAACCAGATCTAAACAAACTACCCAACTGCGTTCCAGCCCAAAGCCCAGGGTCAAACTAGGAGATACCCCAGTGCCCAGAACTGGGCACTCCCAAAAAAAGCCAAAGCCTAAAGAGAGAGAGAGGGAAGTGGACAGCCGAGGTAAGGCCCAGGGAGTGACCCTGGTGCCAACTGGCAAGGAGCAGAGACAAAGAATACTGGCGGAAGAGCAGGTAATAAGGCGCCGCTGGGTTTGGAGTTCTGAGGAAGAGGAAGACGAGGAAGATAGGAGAACTGAAGAAGGGGAAAGAGAAAGGAAACGGACAAAGAGGAGGGAGCAGAAAGCTGAATGGGAGGCGGTGCAGCCCAAGCAAAGACCTCATACCAACAGCCAGCATCACGCTCAACAGGGATGCAACGGACTTAACCTTGAGGAGCAGAGGAGGAAGAAGAGAAGGTGGAGCAACGACGACATTTCCTCACATCCTCATGTGATAGACTCTAGCCCTTCTCCTCCACTCTCTCCGCCTTCGCCTACTCCTGTCGTCAAGCCCACTCGTCCATCATCTTCCTCATCATCCTCATCGTCTTCCTCTGAATCAGACTCTGAGTCCAGTCCACCCCGGAACGTTACCAAAGTCCCTGCAGATTCAACATCAACCCAAACAACAGTTTCAAAGAGGAGGCATGACAAACAGGGTTCAGGAACTGGTGCTCACCCCCACGGCTCGAGCCTAAGCACCCCTGAGACAGATACACAAGTCCGGGGCAGACACAAACTCTACACACTGGTTCCTTTCGGACGATCTGAGAAGTCCCCCACCGTCCCACATCGAGGCCTGAAAAAACTTGTTGTGAGGATAAACCTCTCGCTTCTGGGTAGAGTCCCTAGTGCAGATGAGATTACTAAGAGACAGTCCTCATCCTTATCTTTGTCATTGGGAAAGGCAAAAGAAAAGACATCAATGAAGCAGCTGCACCACTCTGACCAACTGCCTGGAGATGGCAGAAGCAAAAGAAAAGTGAGGAAGAAAAAAAACATTTTTACATTTAATTAATTCAAACAATTCAGCAATTTTTAAATTCATGTTCTGTTGAATATGCGAGGTGTCTTCTTGCATACATGTAAGATTTTGCGTATTTTGCCGTATGCCGTAGGCTGAGAATGGAGAAGCTCAAAGAGAAAATAAGAGAAATCACTCTCGTGCGGATAGACTTCCAACGTCAGTCCATAATGAGACAGAGGAAACCTGTGCTGACAACAAACAAAACGGGTATATTTAGACCTAATAACTTTATTTGAACTTTTTCCTTTTATTCATCAGTCCTTTGTCTTTGCAGATACAGTTTAGGTCAAACTTAATAAGAAGAAATTTGGATTTTTTTTCCAGTGTTGTTTTTGTTGATTCAGAAATTTAGAACATACCTGTATGTGCTGCATATTAGTATACTGGGATTTCAACAAACAATTACACATTGAAGGACATTATGAAAACCCCCGTAACAAAATACAAACATATGAAAAAGTTTTTCACTTTCAAAAAAACTTTTGCTGATAATTTACTCACCCCCATGTCATCCAAGATATCCATGTCATTCTTTCTTCAATCGAAAACAAATTTTCAGCATTTTTCTCCATGTAATGCACTTTACTGGTAACCAAACAGTTCAAAGGCCAAAAGACAATTTCAGTGCAAACTGCAAACTGTTCAAAGGGCTTTAAACGATTCCTGACATGAATAAGGGTCTTATCAAGCGAAATGATCGCTCATTTAAAAAAAAAAAAAAAGTTTAAGTTCTACAAGCTCAATGTTTTGCAGTTTGCACTGAAACTGTCTTTTGGACCTTGAACCGTTTGGTTACCAGTAAAGTGCATTATATGGAGAACAATCCTGGAATGTTTTCATCAAAAACCTTAATTTCTTTTCGACTGAAGAAAGAATGACATGGACATCTTGGATGACATGGGGGTGAGTAAATTATCAGCATTTTTTTTTTATTATTATTATTATTTATTTTTTTAAGTGAACTACTCCTTTACATTCATTGCTATTATTCTTGCCAACTGGGAAAAATTGGTGTAATATTATCTTTACTCTATAGCTCATGGTTTTTTGATGACATCCTTTTTATTGCTGTATATGCAGATGCCAGGACGATTACTTTTACTCCAAAAGGCCAGTGTCCCCATTGTCTCCTCCATCTGACATATTAGAGCTCTCAAAGCCCTCTGTGAAAGCTCAGCATGCAGAGAAGTACCACACACCTCCAGAAAAAAATGATTCAACAGCACAGAAAACACAGGTTCTTAAAATAACACTAACACAACACAAAAAAGTTTTCTTTCTTTCTTTCTTTCTTTCTTTTCCACAAAAAAATCTCACAGCTTGATTTCAAAGTAGAACATTTTAAAGTTTCACAAATAACGTTTAACTCATTATTTATTTCTTTAAAAGAACTGATGTTTTAAAGAACCCAGAATCAAGGACTCTAATCTGAAAACGTATTATACACTAATGAAACAGGACCTTTGTCTCAACAGGTCCAGAAGATGCAGCCCAAGGTAGAGGTGGAGTGCGTAGGGGTGTCAGGACACCTACAACCTCTCTCTGGATCTCGGGTTCCTCCCCTAAACCTTCCTCTTCACTACAGAGGAACGGTACCTATCAGTGATGTGTAAGTTCATGTCTGTTAATGCTTCTGTTTCATTTAACAATTCTGCAGCATATGAGGTGAAAAGCTTCCCATAGTTCTCACCCAATCTTTCTTTTCTTCCCCTCGTGTTAGCTCTCATCATGCTGAGTACTACATGCATGAGGCCAAGAGGTTGAAACATCGAGCGGACGCAATGGTATGACAGCATTGTGGACATGCATTGCCACTAAACAAGACTCTTATGGGCTTTTCACACTGCGCATAACCCCCGTTATAGTTGTTTTAAACCCCTCTTTTGACCCTCAGTAAAGGAACATTTCACACATTTCAAATTTAGAATGGGGTTTTACCTGGGGTTATGAAACCCTGCACTTTAGCAGGGTTTGCACTTTTTTTGCAGTGTTAAACCTGTATTTCAGTGCCAAACGTCAACAGTGTGAAATGACGCAGTGACAGAATGTTATCAATGAGACAGATATTGCAAATATGCAAATAAGGATGTTAATCCTCCAGGGTATAGGAAGTGTTTTTCTAAATAGCTGGGGTCTCAAGGATTGTAGTACTTACAAATCAGTCCCAGACCAAAACAAGGATGAGAATCCCTGGCTTATGTGTGTACCCTCTATATCAGATTCATCCACTGCTTTGATTACCCTTTTGCCTCTCTATCATTGTTTGCAGGTGGATAAGTTAGGAAAAGCTGTGAATTATGTGGATGCTGCTTTGTCCTTCATGGAGTGTGGTAAAGCCATGGAAGAGGGACCACTGGAGTCCAAGTCTCCCTACACCATGTATGCTGAAACCGTGGAGCTCATAAGGTGTTTAAGTGTTTCTCTTTCACCCTGTCTATTGATTTTTTTTTTTCTTCTGCATTATTTCAGTCCTTGTGGACTGTAGTTTACCTGCTACATCAGCTGTGGATGAGATTTAGTGCTGTGACAGATCAACAAGCCACAAAAAATGCAAACATATTTGGTAATGTCAATGGACATTAATAAGATTGATGCCAAAATAGAAAGGGCAAGAAAAGGCCCTATGTATGTCAGAAGCTTTGTATTGATGTTGCATGTTCTCTGTGTTGATTAGATATGCTATGAGACTTAAGAGTCATGCAGGCCCTGGAGCCAGCCAAGAAGACAAACAGCTGGCTGTACTGTGGTAAATACAACACTACAAAGATCTGCAACTATCTGTATTGACTGAATCTTGATCACGCTTAAGTCTGTTTACAAAACACACATTTTGTGTTGTAGTTTCCGCTGTCTTGCTCTTCTTTATTGGCAAATGTTCAGACTTAAAAAGGACCACGCTCTGAAATACTCCAAAGTCCTGCTTGACTATTTCAAGGTAGGCCATTATCAATTATCATGCATCAAGTTTGTTAAAACAACTAAGTTGTCCTGTTGAAAGATTTACCAATACTTGTAACTGTCTATGCTTGTATTAGACTTCTCCAAAAGGACCTCACAAACCCCTTTGGAACGACGCAGGAAAGTAAGCTGGGCCTGTAATTCATATACTCAGCCACTGGAGAAGCCTTTATGTTGTTTTTGAGTGTCAGTACATCTGTATTTGTGCTTCTACAGGGGAACAGTACCTCCTGCCTCTATTTGTTCTGTCAATATAATGGGATCTCACACAGGCAGCTCAGCCAGCAGTGTCATCAGCATTCCCCATCGTATCCACCAGATGGCAGCAAATCACCTCAACATCACCAACAGTGTCCTGTACAGTTATGAGTACTGGGAGGTGGCTGACTCCCTGGCCAAGGAAAATAAGGGTGAGTTTTGGTGCAATTGTTTAGGAAAACTGTATGCTTCTCACAGGGGCCCATTTTAATAGCTTAGATTTATTTGTTTGTTTTTTTCCCCCTGTATGTTTATATATTTATTTACCGTTGACAAAGGAGAATTTCAGTAATAATTTAACTTATGGCAATTAAATTATTCTTTCTCATACACACACCAGAATTTTTCAACTATCTGAACACACTGACTGGACCCTTGACTCTGCACAGCAGTATGGCTCATATCGTCCAGTACACCAGGCAAGGGCTGCAGTGGATCCGGATCACTGCTAATCTATCATAATATCATGTAGAGACATTCTCAAACTCCACAAATCAGATGTGGAAACAATGTTATAAAGCTAAATTAGCAAACGATTAAAAGTTTCTGCACTCTGTGACCAAGTTTTTTTTTTAAATATTTTTTATATAGGGGGGGGGGACTATTAGGCCCAGACCAAATATTGTCTGCCTTAGGTTAAGGATAAGTCATGTGGCATCATGTTATGTGACCTGGACCACAAATCCAGTCAATAGGGGCAATTTCTTAAAATTGAGATGTATACATCATCTGAAATCTGATTAAATAAGTTTGATGTATGGCTTGTAAAGATAGGACAATATTTGGCAGAGATACAGCTTTTTGAAAATCTGGAATCTGAGGGTGCAATTGAGAAAATGGCCTTTAATTAAACTTGTCCATTGATATTTCTCTGATTTTTCACACAAATATATATATATATATATATATATATATATATATATATTCTTAGCTTTTGCCACAAATACCCATGCTACTTGTGACTGGTTTTGTGGTCCAGGGTCACATATTGTATTTAGAAGCAAACATCCCTATGTTACTTCATTCTACTGAGCATTAAATGTCATAATATCCAAGGATACCGTGTCATGTCATGTCATGTAATCATGTTTTCTTTTATGCAATTAAGACTTGTAGGTCCAATTGAAATAGCCTTGGTCATTCAATTCTTAGCACTTCTTTAAAAATGCTAACCTTACATGAATGTTTTGACAAGAAACCATTGTCGGCTATTTCATCAAATGCTGCTTTTCCAAAATGTGCCACATTTTTATAGCAAATCTTTTTTTTTTTTTTTTTTCTGTATGTAATTATGATGAAAACTCTTTACTGGATTTTACTGGATTACAATATTTTTTTTTTATGACAGGGTGTTACATCCATCCAACGTTCATTAAAACTTGTTTTTTAGTTTGTTTGTTTTTTCTTCTATTTTTATATGAGCCTTCCATAACTTCAATGCATGCACAAAGTCTTTAAGATCTGCAGTTGTGATTTTTTTTTCTTTTTTTTTCATGAAGTTAAGTCAGAATTTTTTACATGTGTCATGTAAACTTTTGGTGCTGTTTTTCAATAGCCAGCATAAAGTCATGTCGGTCTATGCAAGACTATTTATGGCAATATGAAATTCTTGTAAAGTTTAAACTGTAAGAATGAAAAATATAATCAGGACTTTTGTAATTAAAGTGTTTTTACTGTAGAGTGTAGTGGTGTTGGTCATACGTTAATGATGATGATGATGAATTGCACACCACAGCAATCCATTAGTGATATTGTGTCATTTAGCGGTCCATAACATGATATCTCTAATGAAAAAGATTCTATTTTGAAAGAACATGCCTGCATACAAAAAAAAAAAAAAACAGATACTTTGCACATTAAGATTTTATATACTATTTTATCAAAACCCAAGGAAATAAAAACACGACTTTCCTTAGTAACCTTACATATTTAACCTTTCCACCTTCAAAAAAAAAAAAAAAAATGTTCAAATGCATTTTTAACTTTAAAAGTCAAATGTGTTAATGTTGTAAAAGTATTGTTCATTGTTAGGTCAAGTTATATAACTATTGTGTTAAGAGATTTTTAGATTTAACAGTTTAATGCTACTGATAATGATACAAAAATAGCTATTTTGTTTATAAATATGTAGTTTCATATTATTGAAAATATAATTATAAAATTATAATATATTTAAAAAAATTACATTTGTAATTTCAATCTTATTGAAAAGTAAACCAAAAAATCAGCTATTTTAGCGAAAGTCCCTTCACCTGATTTTTCTATTTGTCGCCTGTGATATATATCAATGGGAAAAGATAACGTCAGTCATATCATGTCACCATTTACACCAGAGACTGTAAAAGGTTTACACACTCGGATGCTCCCTATGGATGCTCCTTCTGTTGTAGTACTACCCGTGTTGCCATGTCTGCGTAATATACGTTGATTTTATTTCTCAGGACAGATTTTCTCTTGCGCGATCTGGCAACAACGAGTACTATCAGCGACGGTGTGTGCTGCTGTATCTGTTTGTATTAGTTTGGCGACCGTGCGACGTTTATGCTTTTTGAACACATATATACGACACGTAGCGTCAATATCTTGCTTGATTAAATCATAAATGGCCTCCGTATCCGAGAGAGCGGAGCCTGGGGACAGCGAACAGGATGAAGAAGATGTATACGAAGTGGAGAGGATTATTGACACGCGAGTGGAGGAGGTGAGAGAGTGTGTGGTAGCGCTTCTGATGCCATCTTGCTAGCGACTTAGCATGTAGCCTTTACTGTCCTTAGTAAATAGTACAGATAAGTTACGTGAATAAGAAGTAGGATAATTCCAAAGAATTAATTGAAAAAGAAATGTATGGCCCATTTGCCTTAAAACTCAAACCATCCTCAGCGCAGAGAGACTGTGTGGAAGCGGTTCGGATGACATCTTGCTAGCAACTTGCTAGCATGTGACGTTAGTTATTACTGCCCTTAATAAATACTGCAGATGCGTGTATAAAAGGAACAAAACGTGTACAAAAGGGACATTTTAGGAACTGTTCACCTTAAAACACAAACTTCCCCCAGGGCAGAGAGGCTGTTATAGACTCGTTGTAACTTTCTTACAGTTAACGTTAGCTCAGCTCGCCGGCCACTTTGAGCCATAAGCAAAGCAGAGACGCGGGACGAATTGACTTCCAAATGGGCTGCGCTGTTGTTTACATCACAACCGCTTAAAATCTAGATGCATTTCTACTTTAAGCCTCAGACTAAATCATTTAATAAAATAAATGCCGAACACGACCAGTGGTGTTTCATGCGGAGGAAAACAATGTTGACAGCAGTGACAGACAAGCAATGGTCAATGTTTTGGATGAATGTACGTTAGTGTTATTAACACGTGCAAGCACAAATATCACTGAACTTGATTAATATAACAGAAATGTTTTACTATCCACAACCAAATGTCTTTCAGCTTGCGTGTTGATAATTCTAAATTGAATGAATGTATTGCAATTTGTAATTTGTGCAAATTGTTTCAATATCACCGTCTTATGCATTGACATTAAGCTTTTTCTTTATAATAATAGGCTCTATGGGAGGAAAAATATATAGCCTATAATGATATTTTACTTCCTGAGCCTGTTTAAAAAAAAAAAAAAAAATTCGCAGCTATTATAGTTTTCAAGATAGCAGAACTGCATGGAAGCCTCCGTGGACATGTGTCCTGGTAAACCTTTATGCATGAGCTTACGGGAATGCATAACACTGATTCAGCATTTTCTTTAGAAGTTGTTTATTTTATTAGAATGTATAAATTATTCGGTTGTTTAGATTATTTTAAGATGTAGCAACAGACCCTGAATAGTTTAAGTGGGAAGCTGTTTTAGCCCGATTTGCTCTGAAGGTGTTTTGGAGATGTAAGGTGTGGTTGGGGTCTGTTTGGAGTCTGTATATACCTGTTCCCTTGGGTTCTTCTCATCCAGAGAGAGAGATATCACATTACATACAGACCACTTTCATGTCTGAAGATGCTAGGTTGCACACTGATTTTATTTTTTTTATTTTTTTTTTACACGTCGGAGAAAGCATCACACAACATGCAGGAAACTCACGTTAACTCCACTGCAACGTTACAATAATAGGTCATAGGTAGTAATTACTGGACGACGTATAATATGATCACGAAAACGGGAACTAGACTGAACAATTTCAGTGTTACTGTAAGATCGTAGAAAGTAACATTACTGTATTGAATGTGCCTGGAAATGTATACTATAAACAATATGATAGTTGTGGGATGAGTGACGTCAGACAGTAGATCTAGTACACAAAATGAAAGTCACATCCTAGCACCTACTTTTTGTTATCTGGAGACTGGAACAGTCTTTTGTATTCATTTCATGTCTCATATATGTTGTAGTTAACCTTTCTATTTCATTTCAGTTTACCATTATTTCAGCATATCTGAAAACTTGTAATTTATCACAATAATAATAGCGGAGGTCTCCATAATTCAAACACTCTGCCGATGTTCATCTGTGTTTTCGTCCTAAGTTGATCCGATTCACGTTTGGCCTGACAAGCTTCAGCAGATACATTTTTGTTTGGTTTTGTTTTTATATTTTTGTGTAGTTTGTGTTGGAGTCTGTGTTGTGCTGGAGGTAGGTAGTTTTTTTGGTGTTATCAGACTCCATGTCGTCAGCTGCAGTGACTTCGCATAGACTGTATATAAAAAGGAGAGAGGCTCGGGAGCATGCATGGGCGCATGCACGTCACATCCGATTAATTTCGCAGAAAATCCGACCCGGGGACTTCACATAGAAATAGGAATACTGGCCTTCAGAGGTAATGGCAAAACCCAACAAGTGGATCATTGTAATGTATGATTACAAAACTTTCACACACAGGCAATAAAAAAATGATTTTTTTTTTAAAGTTACATATAGCACCTTTAAAAATGTGAACACAACACTTGCTTTAAAACACAGATAGATGTGGGTTTACATACAACAGCCACAAAAGTTGCATGTAGAGTTGCTTTGTTGTGAAACCAGTTGAGAGAGAGAGAGAATACACTTTGGGCCACCAGTTGATTGGTATTAAAACATAGTATTTGGCTTTGATCTCTTCAGCTATTTTAATCCTCCAGCTAGAGTCACAGTAAATAATAGGAGCAGGGAGTCAGCTGTGTTTGTTACTTAGCAACACAGCAGATAATGAACTTCCCTTTGAAACTAACCTGTGGCACTTGTGATGTGTCTGCTGAACATTAATTACTGCCTTAAAGGGTTAGTTCTTCACCCACTTGTTGTTCCAAACCCATAAGACCTTCGTTCATCTTCGGAACACAAATGAAGATATTTTTGATGAAATCCGAGAGCTGCCCAAGGGTTTTTTGGTGTGTGGTGAGAAATAGGCCTAACTGGTGCTGAAATTGTGGGTTTAACTGCCCTTAAATGAGTGTATAAACCTGTGTGTTTTCATTAATATTACTGACATTGTTGTTTGGAGATTGTTGATAACCTAATGACAGGCCATGATATTTGACCTCTCACATTTTTAAAGGGAGTGATGCTGTATAGGGTGCGATGGAAGAACTATTCATCGGACGATGACACCTGGGAGCCTGAGGCACATCTGGACGACTGCAGGGAGGTGCTGCTGGCCTACAAGAAGGCCCTGGCCGAAATAAAGCCAAAGATAGAAACTGGCATGGTAAGACACTTAAGATGTGTTCACATGATTGTAGTTTTTTCTAAGAACTTGTGTGGACAATGCAATATCTGGTTTCCTTGCTTTGTGATTAGGCTACTGATTTGTGTTCATTTTACCTAGAAGCTGCCAACGAAGAGTGATCTGTTCGATGCCGACTCAGAGAGTGAAAGCGATAAAGAAAAACCTAAAGAATCACCTA